CCATCAAATGATTCTGTCTGGTTTCTATTCATGAGTCATGTGGCTTTTGTTTCTCAAATGCAGTTTCCAAGAAAGGAAATCACAACTTTTTTTTGGTGTTTAAAACATTCTAAGTACCCACATTTAGCAAATATAACTAAATGAATGAAGCAATCCAGAATTAGATCATAGCTCTAAAGCTTTACAATATGCTTGTGGTGACATTTAGAGTTCTAAATATATCTTAATAGACTGACGCTATGGAAGGCATTTCTTTTTTGGGTTAGATGGCTTTTTTCTCTGTACTAGTGGAAACTTGATGTTATCTTTTGAACTGAAACTGGCACATTAGGTAATCTGTCACTGGTTTTGGCATTGGTTTTTATCTGTGAGGTTATGTGCAGAATGGCATCCACTGGAGATAAGCAAGCTGGTTTGAGATGGGCTTCGGCACTCATGTTGATATGGTAGAGGGGACCTTGCCAGCTGTGTGTGATTGTCTGGAGTGTCACGGACGTTTGAAGGACCGGGATGCAGTTCAGTCATGTCAGAAGAGCCACACAAGTCGACCTCATTTCTGTTACCGTTATTCTGAAAACAAAACCAGAGGGCTCTTTCCAGGAAACTGGTGAACAATCAATGATGTTGCTGGGTGTTGTGGAAAAAGATATTCCAAATGGGGGGCTGGAGCTCAGTGATGGATGGGGCAGCGGAGAGATGCTGCAGTCACCGGCCAACAGACACAGTCCGTCCCTGTGTTTTCTGGCTGCACAGCAGGGCTGAATACAGCTTCTTCATACAGAGGGGGGGGGGGGGCTCTGCTTTAAGGCGTTTGTGTGTCCAATGGACTCTAACGGCTCAGAGGAAAACCGAACTCTCACTGAGTGTGGAAAAGAAACACCTTTCATTTTTTGTCATTTTCTTTGAAACTCTGTGGGAGTTGTGGTGAAACTCTGTGGTGGCAACAGATGAGTTTTTTTCCTTTATGTCTGACATGTCAACACTTGAGTGGGAAATGCTGTAACTACTGTGCTATGATTTGCATGTGGAAACTTCCTTCCAGGAGGGCCCCCCTTAGGAGTGGGCATGTCATTTTTTTGGTTTAATTTATTCACAAACACTGCTGCAGAGATTTAGCTCAGTTACACAGAGCAGCCACAGTGAAGATTAACCGTAATGTTAGCTGAGAAACCGAACGGGAAAGAATAGCCTAACCAGCAGAGGTTTGTGTGTTCATGAGGGATTTCTTGATTTCCATTTAGAAAAGTATTAACTCAGGTATTTGAGAAGAACAATAAACTATTAAATGGAATGGAATAGAACAGAAAGATTTTATTGTCACTGCAGGTAGAATGAAATTCACATCAAAGTGAAAAAAATACTCTTACTGTAAATAGCATGCTCGTTAAATGGTTTTAATTAATAAGACCTTTCTTTTACAGTCTCAAACTAATGCCTTTTCATTGCTGTTCGAGGAAAAGTGAATTGCTTTAAAAAAAGAAAGAAAGAGAAATTTCAATTTTTTGCCACTACAACAGCTTATGTTCTGATGGATGAGGGGCAGATGAAGACTGATATGTAACACGAAGTTTCAGACCACAGTGTTGTGATTTAAAACTGCTTGGTAAGCCCCAGTAAAAACATTTATCCACAAACAAGATGAGATGCTAGTGTAAACCGTCCAGGCCCCATCTAAGATGCTGCTGTTTGGATATGTTGAGTGATGCTGCCTGCATAGACGGAAATGTGGTTATGCGTGTCGCATCAAAGTCTCAAAGCTCTGCTCTTGTACGTGCTCTCCACTGAGAAAAAGTGGAGCCGTGGTGAAGGTGAACGTGACGGGGTGCAGGTATTGTGTCGGGGCAACGCCGCCTCGGTGTTTTAGATTGCAGACGCTCTGCTAATTGGGGCTTATCAGGTGTTTCTGGGAAAACACCTGAGGCTTTTGTGCAGCAGTCAGCGCCATTATCAAGAAGGGAACACCGTCTCTTGTGAGGCTTAGAAGAGTGTGAGTCGTCTTTCAGCAGAAAGCATCAAGATTTTCCCACTCATATTTTGCCTTCCGTAGAAATCAGTGCCTTTAAGTGCAGTTGTGTGAATCGGTGGTTCTGTGAGCGCTTTCAGTGCGTGTGTGGGTGAGCTATTTATGGGAACATGCAAAACCCTTGCCTCCCTCGTCATATACTGAGAAGCAGTTTGGGGATGAACATATAAACTTTCTCAGAGGATATCCTGCCTCAACTGTCTTTCTCTTGCCTGACCTTTTTCGTCACCTGATTATTCTCCACTGTCCACACTTGCCTCTTTTGTAACCTCTAAAGAAGTTTGAGCTTTGCAGTGAAATTCAGGCAGGATATTGGGCTGTTTTTTCTGCAACCTTGCTGCACCATCAACTAGATCATAGTGCACATGAAACCAGAATTGTCTTTCTTTTTTTCTTTTTTTTCTTTTTTCAGCTCTGGTGAAAAAAAAAAAAAGACAAGGAAAGAAAATTAACTTTTTTTTTTTTTACAAGTTTAGATATATTGTATATCCAGTTCTGTTAATGATAACTATATTATGTTGTAACAACTAATGTCTTTTTTTTCCTGCAGTCTCTAAACTTTTGAAGTTTCGAAAGAGTTTCTTATCAGATGGTAGTATGTTTTGTTTCTAGTCAAACGGTGATATAGGTATCTGGGTTGAATGCAGGCCACATCTTTGACAAAAGGGGGTCACATTGCAGCGAGTATGCGTTTCAGCTGACCAATCACCGTGGATCCATTTGAATGGCGCACGACAGGTAGCCGAGCCGAGGTGCTACCAGACAGTGCTGTCGGCAAACCAGCTTGTCAGGTTTCCTACAAACAATGAAATCCCTTGGTGACAGATGCCAAGGACTCCTTGAGTTTTCTATGCGGCAGACGGGAGGAGAGTTGTCCTGCAAAAAGCTGCTAAAACTAAAGGAGAAACCAAGACAGAACAGGAAGACGTCGGCATTGTTTCTGTTAGCAGACAGGAGACTGTGGAGTTGCAAAGGTGGACCACAACGAATTGAATTATCATGCTTCTATAATACAACCTAATGCTATTACCAAAGTGCAACTGGCACATGTGCTCAAGCTCCAGCCTCCTATTTGTGTCGATTAATGGAGCTAAAAGGATGGATGGAAGACGAGCCGTCCTGAGGCGGTAGTTTGATCAGACAGTGCTCATCCGTAAATACATTTCTACGACGATGCTGTTACAGCAGCCAAATGGAAGTGTGCTGAACCTTTATTAAGACTAAAGGCCAACGCCGTCCGCACTGAAGGAGGGTATTGTTCATTGTTCCTGCTTGAGGAAACACTGTGCTTTTCTTACCCTCAGCTGTAAGCTCCACCGGCCTGTATGCTGGGAATGCATCGCTACAGTACTTTCTATCTGTCCTGCTCAACTGTGTGTGTGAAGGATGATTTCGCTGCTTGTGGAAAGAGCCGTGGTGAGTTTGTGTGCGCGCACGCACATCACAAAGATATCTCAGATTCCTGCCTTTGTGTTGAGATACCGTTCCACTTGTATGCTCACTGTCTGCCGTTGTCTGGTTCCCTCTCCATCTTTTAGCCTCTCAGGTTTTGAACCAAAGCCCAGCTGAGCACAGATGAGATCCAGGCCCGGTTTCCACTCTTTTTTTTCCAAATTTCCCTAACAAACATGTGTTTCAGTCGTCCAGTCCAGCAAATACAGGCAGTGGAAGCATCAGTGTTGAATTATCTTGGGAGCTGGCCTGCCCTGCAGAAGGATCCTGTTACTTTTGACAGGTTTAAGAGACCAACTCCACCTCTAATTAGATTTCCAGAGTCTCCAACTTTCCTTTGTCCTCAGTCTTAAAGTGCAGTCTTTTATTTAGCTTTTGTTTGTAGAAGTTGCACAGTGAAGAGACATTTGAAACCAGATTAGAAGTTTTTAAGGTTTTTCTTTTGAAGTTATCTTTTTAGACACATGATTGCAAAAATGTGAATAAAATTAGTTTAGAGCGTGACTAGTACTAAGAAATTATAATTTCAGTCTCATTGAAAAATCTGACAGAAATGCTACCATTGTGAACATTTTCTGTTCGAAAATGTCAAAGTGCAAAAATGTAATACCGCACAGCATAATCAAGTCTTAACAGGCTCTTTCTCAAAAAGTAAGGAACCCCCGCTCCCCCCCACGCTACTTCTCAGGTATCTGTTTGATTTGCTGTTAGCTTTTCTCAGCTCGCTAAAAAGTGGGTGGTTGGGCAGGCCAGTATGATGAGGTCTGGCTGATCCACGAGCTATGCTGAAGTTTCAAGAAGTAAGTCACTGGGGTGGAATGGTTGGCTCCCAATAACAATGCAGTGTGTTGACAGCCAAGTGTTCAGACAGGGTCAGAGGAATGTCCCCCTCCACACTACGTGTGCAGCCCATTGTCTAATCACACCCAGAGTCTCACAGAACATTGTACTCTTTACCTGAAGACTTGGTTCCCTTATTTTAAAAAATAATATTATCATGCTAAACAAACTGAACCTTTGGTGCTGTATTCATCGTGACCACAAAAAGATTGTGAGTCACTTGACTGTTTAACTTCCTTACTTTCACAAAACTGTAAAGTGGTATTACATATGAACGCCAAGACTTTGTTATCAGTTCACCTTTTTATATGAAAATGTTTTATTTTCTCTGCTTTTGCTTTCCAACTTTTCTGCCACTCTGCTCTTTGTCCTCTAACAGGGTCAGTTCAAACTGAGGAAAAGGTTGTTATTCGGATACTTTGTTTTGTATGAGACTTTTGCACATACTTTCCTCTACCAAAAAAAAAAGTGTGTTTATTTGGCCACAGATGATTTTAGTTACAGAGTAGCATTTCCTTTGTCAGTAACCACAGGCTTCCCTTCTTCTTTGTGTTTGCAGGTGACCCATTTACCACTCTTCAGACGTGACTGTTGGACCGGCGGTCCTCCTCCCAGAGCTTTTCCTGTCCTTTTCGTAAGGACAGCTCTTAATGGCATAGACACCCTGCACAACTCTACAGTGTGAATGAATCTATGCCGTAAAGCCACTGTGCTCTGCCACCCTGTCACCATGAAGAGCAAGTATTCCCAGTACTACAACTGGAGTCTGATCCGTTCCTACTATGCTCATGCCAAGAATATGACCACCCAGGAAATGAATGAACACATTGAGAGTAAAAAACAGCTTACCACTCTCCATATAGTCATTGTGATCCTCTGCACCTTCATTGTGTTAGAGAATCTTTTGGTCCTGGTGGCTGTGTGCCGGAACAAAAAGTTCCACTCGGCCATGTTTTTCTTCATTGGCAACCTGGCGTTCTCTGACTTGCTAGCAGGCTCTGCCTACATCGCCAATATATTCCTATCAGGCTCAAGGACCTTTAAACTTGCACCTGTGCAGTGGTTCATCAGGGAAGGCACAGCATTCATCGCTCTGGCTGCTTCGGTCTTCAGCTTGTTGGCGATAGCGATAGAACGCTACATTGCCATCACCAAGGTCAAGGTGTACGGCTCCACTAAAACATGTCGCATGTTTCTCCTGATAGGAGCTTGTTGGGTCACCTCCATCCTGCTTGGAGGACTTCCTATTATAGGCTGGAACTGCATCAACAACCTCCCGGAGTGCTCAGCCGTTTTGCCACTCTACTCTAAGAAATACATTCTCTTTGTTGTTTCTATTTTCAGCCTCATACTGCTCTCTATAGTTATCCTCTATGTGAGGATTTATTTGATTGTGCGCTCAAGTCACCAGGAAGCTACCAACTCACAAGCATACTTCCTTTTGAAAACAGTCACCATAGTGCTGGGGGTCTTCATCATGTGCTGGCTGCCTGCTTTCACCATCTTACTGTTGGATTCATCCTGCAATATACAACTCTGCCCCATTCTCTCCAAAGCAGACATCTTTTTTAGCATCGCCACTCTTAACTCAGCGCTTAACCCGGTGATCTACACGCTGCGCAGCAAGGACATGAGAAAGGAGTTCCTGCGTGTGCTTTGCTGTTGGGGGGTGCTGCAAAGTGGGCGGCCCTCTGAGCGCTGTCTGGTCCCTCTGAAAAGCTCCAGCTCTCTGGAACACTGCACCAACAAACACGAACACCAGACCACACCCATCATGCAAGACTGTACCACGTGTGTCTGAAATGGTTGAGCCCGAGTGCATGTGCGCATACGAGATCAAGAGGAGAGCCGAGACCACGGGTGGATGGGCAGATTTTTAAAAGAGAAGCAAGCACGTCCTGAGACAGAGATGTCTGACGAGGTGGGGCATTGCTTTCTGTTTGGATTCTTTCTACAATGCAAACGTACTTTTTCATTACAATCAAATTGTGTCATTTGTCAATCAGCATTCAGTCAGTGTTTCGAGGGGGAACCAGTTTTCTGGGTGGAAAACTTTCAGAAATGTGAAAAAAAACGCTTTGCAATGGCTATATGGAGCGAAAGTTTTTTATTGTATAAGATTATGTGTTTTTATTTTTACTTTTAAACATTTAAAGGCCCATTAAAAGCCAAAAATACAAATGTACGTGTCATGCGTAACATCGTAGTTTTAGTGAGTTGTTTTGGGCCTTTTGAAAACAGTCAATGCAAAGATTGCAGTGTTGCACTTTGTAGATTACTATAGATATGATCTTGTCTAAGGTTAAACTACACCACCCTTCTCTTCACTGATATTTATGCATAAGGCCTAAAGATAAATCACCTATTTCTTACAGAGCAGGAACAGCAATCGGAGTAAAAACAAACGCACTCCACAGCACAGAAGACGAGCTATTAAGTAGTCCCTTGACAATATAAGGACTATATATTCCCTGTATAACCTTACTTAGCCAATTTGATAAATGTCAGCAAAGGTACATAGTATGCTTACATTTAATGCATGAAATTCTAACACATTTGTAAACGCTCTGTGTATGATATATATTCCATCTTGCATCACTAACACCCCTTATTCCAGTTTTCCTCATAATCTGCCCCTCTTGCTTTTGCTGTTGTCTTTTGTGTCTTAACAATTTCCGTCAAGGAAGGCCAAAGGAGAAAGCACATTTCCTAAAGTGAGTTGGCACTGATGAATTTCACTTGTTGACAGCTCTCCAGCCACTTTGACTTATAGGACTGCGGTCCTGTTGTAGCAACTTAGCAGCAATGTGCTCACCTCTGCTTGTGACTTCCTCTTTGGTAAAAAGGCTGAATGTATGAATGAAGTGTTTGGGGCTTGTGCTCCATTATTGACAGTATTATTTGATCATCGTTTTGAAATACCAAGTTGTTGATGAGTGGAGAGTGGAAGGAATAGGGTAGGCCACTCTCACTGTGGAGACTGCACCAAGAACAAAAAAGACTTGTGAGCATCCCTTTTCATATTTTTTATTTTTCTTTGTGCAAACAAAGATGAGAAAACATGTCTTTTTCCCATAAACCCTTCGCCTCATCTACATGATATTAGTTCAACTTTCAAATATCCAGGAGTGTTCTGCCCTTGTAGGAGTCAAGATTCATCTTCATGACATCTGAAAACACAAATCTCCCTTTAGTCATAGGAAGTCCTGTTTTTAACTGCCTGTTCCTGTTGTTCAGGGTTATACTAACCTTCCTGTAGACACACAAATGAAACTCTTCTCTCTGTCAAGTTCATTTTGACGTTGACATTTAGATAACCAAGTAGAAATGGTGAAAAGCACTTTGGCAGCTTCAGTGATGTTTGCTTTCCCCCATTTTTTTCATGTGGAGAGGTGTTTTTGGTCTGTGTACCTATGACTTCATTGTATGTCTATGTTTTTTATTATTAAAATATAACTGTATGCTTGTAAGTATGAATGTCTATTTGTACAGTTTGTATGATTTTTTTGTTTGTTTTATGAAATGTCTTGTGTGCAATAGCTTTGTGTGTCCTGTAGCACGTTGCCTTTTTAAACTGGTACAATCTGAAACACTAATGTAGGTACATAAACGTTTTTAAATGCATTCCAGTTTTGTAAAATAAATAAAATACCAAAACAAGCAAGTGTGTGTTTAATTTTGAGCCGCCGATCCAGCTGAAACCGTGCTGCATGTCCAGAGATGTCCTGTCATTGTGCCTGTATTTAAAATGCAGCATTAAATCCAAACATGCTCCAACAAGGTCAGAGAAACACCAGCTTGAACATGAAAGTATGAAATTGTGCGTGCAAATGCTGCTTGGGCTTTCATAATGGCCTCTTTCCTAATAAAACTATTAAGTTGCTTTAAGCCTGAAACAAGACAGGGCAATGCTGGGAAGTTAGGCAGAAGACAAGGGGCCTGTAAATTGGGTGTGGTGATGAAGACTGTATATTTGTTTGATAGTTTGTCTGAGAGAAGTTTAGCAGAAGGCCCCTGGAGAGGATTTTGGGTGAGGGGGAAGGCTGACTTATAGTGGCCTTGGGAGAGTTGGGCCTGTTTCTTGTCAGACATCCAGAATTCCTGGGTGGGAACATTAGCTGAATCAGTCCTGGGAGGCTTTGCTGCTGGGAAGTCAGCCAAGTCTCTCCAGTGCCCTGCAGGATATTACATCAAACTCAGAAACCTGTAGGTGAAGTTGTATGCACAATGTGATCAACGACAAATCTATGCAAGTTCATCCTGTGAAGTACAAGAACGTACAGTACTTTGCAAATGGGCCTACACAATCCTCAAAGCACACCAAATAATAATAATAATAAAACATAATTTGAACTGTTATGATAATTCACTCTTTAAGCAGTGCTTAATCTAAACTTTGGGACAGCTTGTGGGTTTGTGTAGCACATTTTAAGATGAGATAGTAGCTGTGGTTAAAACAGATGTAGAACTTTATTCTTTCTTTATGGGACTAAGAATTTTATTCTCAAAATAATGATGTAGTGACACCTCGTGGTTAAACAAGCGCATAGCAGACAACATTTGAAGATCCGTATTGCCAATTTACTTTTAAATAAGTCTAATTGATCAAAGCAGTATCTCATGATAATAATTTTGCCTACATATATGAGACACTTTTGTATAAAAGCCAACGTTACCCAGTGAAACCATGACTCATTCTCGCAGCAACACGTAAACTGGTAATATACGACTGTGTTCCTAACAAAAAGCCTAATCCTTCACTTCAAAAATGTTTTGTTTGAACTAAAATAATATTGTTGCATACATTCAATTGCATAATTGCAATATATTTAGAGTTTCTCAGCAATCAAGGTTCATTTTACTTCCGCCTGGTCAGTTGACATCAACATTTGTGACAGAGTAGGTGTACATTTAGATGGTTGTTCGTTTCAGGAATGCGATTTTGTTCAATACTATCGCCATACAATCAGTCTGGATGTGATTAAATTAGTATATATATATAATAATTAAGATGAAAATGTGGTTTTATCTCACGAATCATACATTCAGGATCCAAAATAAAAATGTTCAACGGCATTTTCTTACCCATAAATCACATAAATGGTACGTTCCACAACGCCCGGGTTTCCGCGCGAAAAGACGGCCCGCGCGCCCGAATTACATATAGCATCCACATCAAGGAGCAGCACGCGAAAGTCATACGCATTGGAGGCACGCTGTGGTTGATGACGGCGGACTGTAACGTGGTTTTAACTGTTTTAAAGCATTTTTAGCTGCTATCATACGATTTTAGTTAGCTGTTTACGATGCCATCCAAGACGTCTCTATCTTTGCCAGACGATGTCAGGAAAAGGTACGGTAACGATGGTAACCTGAATGCTAACCCTGTTCCAATGGTGTAGCTAGCCTCCAGTATTTTTTGTATGTTCAGAAGCCCAAACGACAGCACAGAAACTTGTGTTACCTATTCAGCAGCTCAAGTCTTTTACCGAGTGTTATGAACATGGCAGCCACTTTACCCTCTCCTTGCATGGCTGTTGTAGCTAGCGTTAGCCTCTCTTCACTTGACTGTCAAGACATGCTTTGAGAAGTTTATCCCCTGTGTTAGCAAATTAGCGTCGTTAGCATGAAATGGATGGAGCAACGGGTAAAATTTGGCGCCACAGGAAGTTTTGTTCCCTGTGTTTCAGCTCTTGCTCGCTCTCACAATGTTTTTACTGCTACACGATGGCAGTTGGCATATCCTTCTTTAAGATTGGCGCTCTGTAAGTTGCTGTAACGTTGCTTTGACGTGTGTTCTGTTTACAGGTTGCAGATGCTGGATGAGGATGGATTTTCAGAGGAGGTAAGGGTGCACTTTTGCGAATGCGGAGGTTTATAGGTTCACCATTTAATGACACCCCTAAGCAAAGCTCAACACCCAATTTAATTTCCTTCTCAGCATAGGTTGATAAGTCTGAAACTGTAGAAGTGCTCAACAGGTTTTTAAAATAATGTTCCACGACTGTTATGTTTAGGACGTATGTTAAATTAAGATCAGGATTAATGTAATTTCTTATTTCAAAAGGACAACCAGAAATAAAAAGAGGGTGTTATTTTGTGACTTTGCTTCATAATTTATTTATCATTTTTCTTTGATAATTGTACTGTGTGACATCTATCAAGTTAAAAATTGACAAGCGTTTGATCTTCTGAGTAGCTTTGAAAATGCACTGATTTAAAAAAATAAAATGTCTTTCAGGATCAAGTGAAAGAGAAGCTCAAGTTGCTGCAGGACTTCCTGCATGATGATGTCCAGACCCAATTGACCAGCCTTGAGAAAAAGATGACAAGTTCAGAGATCTCAATGGTTAGTGGCTCTTGAATTTAACTTTTTGATTATCAATCTTGTTACTAATCTTCTTTCCTGTGTATGTTTATCGTTCTCTTCAGGAGGTCTACATCTCAAAAGTGAAAACCTTGCTGGGTGAAGAACTTCACCTTGAAAATGGCTCACACGTTGATGGTGTGGAGCAGAATGGAAAGACAAATGGCTTCATTAATGGCTCACATACAGATGAACCGGATGATGTAGCCATGGGTTCACAGGAAGAGGAAGAAGAAGCTGTTAAGTCCCCCACCGCTTCCAAAGGGAAGGGTGGACGCAGGAGCAAGGCCAATGCTGACACGAAAAGTACATTTTCAAACAACTTTTCAATTTGAAAATGACTCATAAATAGATTCCCTAGTGTGAAGGCCTTGTCAAACAAATATAAAACTGTTTTGCAGAGTCTCCTGCAAGTACCAGGGTTACAAGAAACAGTGGGAAACAGCCAAGCATCTTGTCAATGTTCTCTAAAGTGTAAGTTCAACATGATGTATAAACAATTTTGTAAGCAGGAAGAATAATATAACTACAAGCAAGAGGAATAACTCTAAAGTAAATCCTCTTTGCAGTCAGAAACGCAAGTCTGAAGACTTGAATGGAGAAGATGTCAATGGGCAAATTGAACCGAAGAAAGAAGATGACCTGGAGGAGGTGATGCATTCTTACAAATTACTGACTTTAGACCATTTTGAGGGATTTTTTTCCGCTCCGAGGTCACACAAATAATTGTCATATTTGCAATCTGTTACAGTCTCGGGAAGAGAAGCGCCTCAAAGTGGATTCGGATGAGAAGTCAGTAATTTGCCCTAAATTTAAATGACTGGTAATGGGATTGGAATAAGTGAATGTAATTTTTAAACCTCTTGCAGAAGTGCTCCAGAAGAGTCTAAGAGCGAGACGATTAAACCCATATCTGCTGCAAAGGTAATGACATGGATCATCCAGCAGTGCGTCATGGCTGTAAACTGCAATCATCTACGATTCAGTGGCTGCTAGTAAAATGAACAGCATCATGCTTTCCTCTATTTTCTAGACACCACCCCCCAAATGCCCAGACTGCAGGCAGTACTTGGATGACTCAGACCTGAAGTTTTTTCAGGGAGATCCTGATAATGCGGTGAAAATCTGTCTTCTTTTTCTTTTTTTTTTTATTCCTCACATTTCTTTAAGCTTTTTCTGACTAATTCTATTTAAAATTGTTAGCTTGATGAACCAGAAATGCTGACAGATGAGCGCCTCTCCCTGTTTGAATCAAATGAAGATGGATTTGAGAGCTATGAGGATTTACCACAGCACAAAATCACAAACTTTAGGTAAGGGCTCTTGGACTCCCACTTAGAGTTGAGGAACATCCATCCACAGTTGCCATTTTGCCTGCTTTTTTTTTTTTTTTTACAGAGTTCTGTGGCAGCAGCTGAACTAATGTCAGACTAACGGTGTTGTTTTGGGTCTTGCAGTGTGTATGATAAGCGTGGCCATCTTTGTCCATTTGACTCTGGGTTGATTGAGAAGAACGTGGAGCTTTACTTCAGCTGTGTCGTTAAACCCATATATGATGACAACCCTTGCTTGGACGGTATAACGACCTTCATATCCATATTGCAAACATGTTGCTGTCACAATACTTCTTTTTAAGCCTGACGGTAATCTTTTCTTTTTCCCTTAGGTGGCGTTCCTGCCAAAAAGCTTGGACCAATCAACGCCTGGTGGATCACTGGTTTTGATGGAGGAGAACGGGCTCTAATTGGTTTCACTACAGGTACCAAAGTTGTTGTTTATTAAGTTTAGTTTTTCTGCTCTTCTTTCAGTATAAATTTCATAAGTTGGCCTTTTTCCCTGCCGTTTTCTTTGTTCAGCTTTTGCCGACTACATCTTGATGCAGTCCAGCGAGGAGTACGCTCCCATTTTTGCACTGATGCAGGAGAAAATCTATATGAGCAAGATTGTGGTTGAATTCCTCCAGAAGAACCCTGATGCCACTTATGAGGACCTGCTCAACAAAATCGAGGTGAGCTTTTATGCACGCCCACTCGCTGCCATGTCACCTGTCTTGTGGTTTCAGCTTTCACACAGAGGCCCAAAGTGTGGATGGTGCTAACAAGCTTTTTTTGCTGCCTTTCAGACCACCGTCCCTCCTTCTGGACTAAACTTCAACTGCTTTACTGAAGACACACTTCTGCGTCATGCTCAGTTTGTGGTTGAACAGGTGGAGAGTTATGATGAGGCCGGAGACTCGGACGAGCAGCCCATCATTGTTACTCCCTGCATGAGAGACTTGATCAAACTTGCAGGAGTCACTCTGGGGAAGAGGTACGAGTGACCATGATTTAATTGTAAACAGTGCTTTAAGCCGAATGAGGTCAAAGAAGGCTATCCTTCCATAATTAAAGATAATTAAATGTTATCAACAGATTCTGTTCCATATTAGATGAATTGCAGGTCGTTCTTGTCTGTTTTAAATCAATGGACTTCTGCCCTCTGAGAGCATATGGCCCACAGTGTGGAAGTTTTATTGTTAATACATGTTTGTTTGTTTTTTCCTTTTTTTAAATTTTTTGTTGTTTTGTTTTTGTTAATGACATTTTTTTTTACTGTCCCCAATGTCTAACACTCCCCGAATGTCTAACATTGCTTTAACGTTTCCAAATGCAGCATGCTGCTGTACTGGTAGGTTGGCCTTATCGTGGTTGCATCATTAGCTTGTTTGGTGGTGTGTAAGTGTAACACATTTTAGAAACTATGAGCAAAAGAAATGCACTATAAAATAATTCATGCTATCAAAAAAAGGTTTCTTTACATTTTAGCTTTACATTGTGGTTTTATTTTGCCGGCCTATATTGTAGCACAGAGAGACTGAATGAGGATGAGTGCCTGGAAGAGGCTGGGGCTTAGTCACAACAGTCCTGAAGGATTGGGAGTAACTGGGCTGAACAAATCTGTGATGTGGACCATTTATCAGTGGAGTCTAACTGTAGCTGCCTGGTACAAGCAAACTTTCTTTTCTTTTTTTTGCTTGTTACTTTTTGAAGTGGGTAAAACGGCAGCATGAGTTCACCCAAATGGGAGTGACCAGCTTGGGGGTTTTTTTTGTATCATAAATGACTGATAATCTGTATAGCGAGAAACATTGCGGGGCCCAGAGTGCTAAATATTACACGGAGCCTCTGGATTTGATTCCAAGTATTTTTAAAGAGTTCCTGAATTGGTATTGCTGAAAAATTATTTTCAAAATTTAGTGCTTTTTATTTTATTCATTTTTTGCAGTGGGATTGTCTGTTCAGTCTTTTGTTTGCTTGTTGTGTTGCATGGCCTGACACTGTGGTGTGTTGACAGCCAGGGGCTTCATACTGCCATCACTCCACTAATGTTCAGGTGTTTGTGATGAAGCAAATATACCTTTCCCCTGAACGCACACACTTTACTCTGTTATAGGAGAGCTGCCAGAAGACAGGCAATCCGCCACCCAACAAAGATTGAGAAGGACAACAAGGGGCCGACGAAAGCCACTACAACTACACTGGTTTACCAGATCTTTGATGCCTTCTTTTCTGACCAGATAGAACAGAATGATAAAGAGGGGGGGCTCAAAAGACAGCGCTGTGGTGTCTGTGAGGTGTGTTGATGTCTTTATTTATTTATTACGCAAAAGAGAATTGGACACTCACGTGTTTCTTTATAAATCTAAACTCTGGAATGCTCTTCGGTTTTCTGCATCTTTAGGTGTGTCAGTCTCCTGATTGTGGAAAGTGTACAGCATGCAAAGACATGATCAAATTTGGAGGAGGTGGCAGAAGCAAGCAGGCTTGTAAGCAGAGAAGGTGAGCGCCTCAGAGCAGTTTTAAAACTTTGATACGGCATGTGACCATCTTTTCAAATCTTCATCTTTTTAGTGTGGACTTTGTTAGCAAAACAGAGGAACGTTGACCTGTGTTTCAACCAATACAAATCCCTGATTTTAGATGCCCCAACCTTGCTGTAAAGGAGGCTGAAGACGATGAGAACATCGAGGAGGAAGATGTTCCGGCAGAGAAGCCGAAGAAGGTCGCTCAGACCAAGAGGAAGAAGCAGACCCAGTGCAAACTGGCGTGGATCGGAGAACCTGTTCAGGTACATCTGCTTTAGTCGCTGACTGGTAGTATGTCTGTCCACATCCAGCAAGTACAGTAACCCTTTAGAGTAATTATGTCTATGTGCGACCCACTTCAGTCCCAGGGAAAGAAGCACTACTACAGCAAGGTGTCTGTGAACGACGAGGTGCTGGAGGTGGGAGACTGTGTGTCGGTGTCATCAGAGGATCCATCTATTCCTCTGTACCTGGCGAGGTGAGGATGCTCAAACAGTTTCTCGAGTATGCGTGCCTAATTTTGTCGTGTAGCCACTGTAATAAGATATTTCCCCTCAGAATCGGCTCGCTGTGGGAGGACAATAACGGAAAGATGTTCCATGCCCACTGGTTCCTTCGTGGTACTCACACGGTGCTCGGTGAGTCGTCTGATCCGCTGGAGCTCGTCATTGTGAACGAATGCGAGGACATGCTGCTCAGTTATGTCCATGGAAAAGTGAATATCATGTACAAGGCCCCATCCAACAACTGGTGTATGGAGGTAAGTAATGCACTAGCATTTATCTAAAATCTACTTTTTTTTTTCTTCTTTTTTTTTTTACATCTCATGATTGTCCTTTTGTATTGTAGGGAGGGTTGGATGTTGACCTCAAAGTGATTGAGGATGATGGAAAGAGTTTCTTCTATCAGTTTTGGTATGATACAGAGTTTGCCCGATTTGAGACTCCTCCTAAGACTACGTTGCCATCAGAAAAGTGCGAGTTCAGGTAAACAAAACAGCATAGTTTTTTTGTTTTTTCTGGCTCGGTGTCAGCCAGTTCTTAATAGATTTATGTGAAAACTGCCCTGCGGGATGTAATATTTGTCTGGTTCCCTGTTGTCCTTGTCATATTGATGTGCACTTCACAGCTGCACATCATCAAACTGGCTGTCAGTCTTGCATATGTCTGTTATTGCACCTGGGTTTTTTTTACTTGTATTTGAGATGTTTGGATGGGATGCATGTTTGGCATACATTTAAAACCAAAGTAGCCAGATTCGTGTAAATTGTGCATTCAAACTGGATTCAGACTTGCTCTGGATTCAGGATTTTTTCCTGTTCAGCTTTTAATGGATGCAAACTGCTTTTACCTGCAGGTTCTGTGGCAGCTGTGCTTACACTAAAGAGAAGGAAGAGCACGAAACTCCTCGTGCATTAGAACCCCTGGATAACGCAGACAGTGACACCAAGGTTCTGTATGCTTTGGCCTGTTTCAAAGGAGAGCAGTTCAAGGTGGGAGACAGTGTCTATCTGCCTCCTGAAGCCTTTAATTTCAGGTATGTGGTTTTTGTTTTACAAAATCTGGCTGCCCCTGCTGCCTCCAAACTTGTACAGTGGAGAGGGGCAAACTGGAAGTGGCCATTTGACTCTATTCCACTTGGATAATACATGAACATGCCTCCACTAGAAGTCTGTCATGAGTCAAACAGCTGAGAACAAAAACACCTACAAAGTGTGTAGGACTTGATGTGTGAGAAACTGATCCATGATCAGTTTTAATCCATCATACTTTACCAGATTTATGAGCGCTGTGCGATAATGTGGGTTAACTGCTCACTGTAAAAAGAAGGGAAAAAAATTAAATCCTTTTTTTCCACACAGATGGTGCCCAAACATCTGTATTGTTTTAGGTTTGAGTGACCCAAGTGGGAAAAAAAGCATGAGATTCACCACATTTTGGTCTTCTGTTTGCCAGTGTGAAGACAGCTAGTCCAGTGAAGCGCTCGCATAGGAAAGAGGATGTGGACGAAGATCTGTATCCAGAGTACTACAGGAAGTCCTCAGACTACATTAAGGGCTCAAACCTTGACGCTCCAGAGCCCTTCCGTGTCTGTCGCATCAAGGAGATCTTCTGCCACCGGCGTAGCAACGGGAAGGCCGACACCTCAGAGGTCAAACTGCGACTCTACAAGTTCTACAGGTAACATAGCAGCCAGGTGCTGGACTTTTTTTCTTTGTATTTTTTTTAAGCGGTTCAGAATGATGATTATGATTTCATCTCACCTACCAGGCCTGAGAACACCCACAAAGGTGTCAAAGCCAGTTACCACACGGACATCAATCAGCTCTACTGGAGTGATGAGGAGGTGACCTACAGCATGTCTGAGGTGCTGGGACGTTGTCAGGTGGAATACGCAGAGGACCTGAATGAGTCGATCCAGGACTACTCCAGTGGGGCGCCAGACCGCTTCTATTTCTTGGAGGTAGAATTGTGAAATGCCATAAAAAGTTTTCTCCTCCAACTGCAGAGTTGGATCTGATGCTCTGGCGCTGTGTATTAATAGCTTTGCGCATTCCTTGCTCTCAGGCCTACAATGCAAAGTCGAAGAGCTTTGAAGATCCTCCAAACCACGCTCGCTCTGCTGTCCATAAAGGAAAGGGAAAGGGCAAAGGAAAAGGTTTGTTTCAACAAGGTGCTTGTGTAGGAAAACGTCTTCAGCCGTTCTAAGCTCACCGAGCCTTTTTTTCTACCCTTTTTAGGTAAAGGCAAAGGAAAGGCTGCACAGGAACTCCAGGAGTCTCAGACAGAAGCACAAGCTCCAAAAGTCTCCAAATATCGCACGCTCGACGTGTTCTCCGGCTGTGGGGGGCTCTCCGAAGGCTTCCATCAGGCCGGTAAATATTCCCTCCCCGACAATCAGATTCTAACTAGAGGAATATTGGACTGAAGCACGTTTTTATTCTGTGAACGCTGTGCCTGACTGTTTTCGGGGCTTCAGGTATATCAGAGACTCTGTGGGCCATAGAGATGTGGGAGCCAGCAGCCCAGGCCTTCAGGCTCAACAACCCTGGAACCACAGTGTTCACTGAAGACTGCAACGTCCTGCTCAAGCTGGTGATGGCTGGAGAGAAGACCAATTCCCTGGGCCAGAAGCTGCCTCAGAGGGGGGATGTGGAGATGCTGTGTGGAGGACCTCCCTGTCAAGGTTTCAGTGGGATGAACCGCTTCAACTCGCGCACATATTCCAAGTTTAAGAACTCGCTTGTAGTCTCTTATCTCAGGTGAGTGCTGGATGTTTTTTTTCGTCTTCTTTTTTTTTTCCTGTGAACAGCCTGCAACTGAAACATGTTTTTGCTCTGCCAGCTATTGCGACTACTACAGGCCAAAGTTCTTCCTTCTGGAGAACGTGAGGAACTTTGTCTCTTTCAAAAACTCCATGGTCCTGAAACTCACCCTGCGCTGTCTTGTTCGGATGGGCTACCAGTGCACCTTTGGAGTCCTTCAGGTGGGTGTTACTGGATTCCTCTGGGGGGGGGGCGGGGGGCTGTCCTGGTAAAGCTAAACGGTCCTCCTGAGATGCTCTTTTCCGGCCCGCTCCCCAGGCTGGTCAGTACGGCGTTGCCCAGACCCGCCGTAGGGCCATCATCCTGGCGGCGGCTCCCGGGGAGAAGCTGCCTCGCTACCCGGAGCCCCTGCATGTGTTCGCTCCCAGAGCCTGCTCCCTGACCGTGGCGGTGGACGAGAAGAAATACGTCAGCAACGTTACGCGGTGAGCCTCCTCCTCTCCCTCTGAGACCTGCACAGAAGCCCGTAGGCACGGGGAAGAAGAAAAAAAGCTTCCGTAGAGTTTTCCGACTTGGGTTTTCTTTTTCTTGAAACAGAGGCAACGGTGGCATCTACAGAACGATCACGGTCAGGGACACCATGTCCGACCTGCCGGAGATCCGTAACGGCGCGGCTGCCCTGGAGATCTCCTACAACGGCGAGCCGCAGTCGTGGTTCCAGAGGCAGATCCGAGGCACACAGTACCAGCCAATCCTCCGAGACCACATCTGTAAGGTGAGCAGCGCGGGCCGGCTGCTCAGCAGGTGGCTGACCGGGCCCCGGCCGGCGACATAACGGCCCCCTGTCATCAGGACATGAGCGCGCTGGTGGAGGGTCGGATGCGCCACATCCCCTTGGCTCCGGGCTCCGACTGGCGAGATCTGCCCAACCTTGAAGTCCGGCTGAAAGACGGCACCATGACCAAGAAGCTGCGCTACACGCACCACGATAAAAAGAACGGACGCAGCAGCACCGGAGCCCTCCGAGGCGTCTGCACCTGCTCAGGAGGTGTGCAGCCTACAGAACATTCCGGCTGCACAGTGGCTGGGGAAGGCTTTGGGCTGAGGAGGTGTGCTTTTATTTTTGTGACTTGTAGGGAAGCCTTGTGACCCTGCGGACAGGCAGTTTAACACCCTGATCCCCTGGTGTCTGCCCCACACTGGGAACCGCCACAATCACTGGGCCGGACTTTACGGAAGGCTGGAGTGGGATGGATTCTTCAGCACAACGGTCACCAACCCTGAACCCATGGGCAAACAGGTACCATTTAAATGAGTTACTGCCTGAATATCTACAAATGATCACTACGACTTGGATGTTCATATTCTATTGAACACAGTAGTCAAATTATGAAATATTGGTTATGAATCTATAACAGTGGAGACTTTAATTTGTGGTGCATTAAAGAGATGTTTAAAGGCTATAACAAATCCGCTAGCTTGATTCAAACCAGAGCGTTTAATTTCAGGGCCGTGTTCTGCATCCTGAGCAGCACCGGGTAGTCAGTGTGAGAGAGTGTGCACGCTCGCAGGGATTCCCCGACACCTACCGCTTCTTTGGAAATGTCCTCGACAAACACAGACAGGTAACGTCTTATTTATCCCTTTGGAGTGTTTTGTCTTTTTTCCTCCTCTTTTCTTAAACAGTGAATTTAGGTGAACTTGAATTTGCAGAAACATGAATTGGAAGATTTCCTTATTCAATGACTTGAGTGCATTTTTCTCCCTGCTACTCAGGTCGGAAATGCCGTCCCCCCTCCGCTCTCCAGAGCCATCGGGCTAGAGCTTAAGAAGTGTGTCATGCAGAGAATGAAGGAAGAAAATGCAGCAGGTTGGTACTTATGTCTGTCAGAATTGTAGCTGGTATGTGTCATCACTGGATTCTCACCGATGTGTGATTCTCTTTGCAGAAATCAAACAAGAGGGCATGGAGGTGTCTGATTAGTTCTCTGTTCTTTATTCAGCTAAATGAATTCTTGATGTTGGGAAATGTTTTTATAAATATCCGCTGGCGTTTAGCCGTTCATCACTAAGGGGCCAGAATGGACGTTCAATGTAGTAACCAATCCATGTTGTTTTAACTGTGCTTTTAATCATGTCTACTTAAAGTGGGATAAATTGTATGTAGTTTTTATATGTAATATTTCAAATAAAGCTCTTATGAAAGTTGACCAGCACTCAGTTCTTTCGAATTAGTGAAATCAAGACCCTGATGGCTTTTGTGCATTTAAGCTGCTGTGAACTCAAACTATTTTGTTCTATACGTTTAACCCCTAAAGTTCTTGATATTCTACAATTTAAAAAAAAAAATTATTCATCCTCTTTGCTACAAAGTGATAAAGTCACCTCTACAGCTCCGCAATGAAAACCAAATTGTAGCTTTTCTAATCTTGTTCCACCCCAGAGACAACAGTTTACCCTTTTGGCAAAAAGACATCCTTCAAAGAAAAAAGTGAACTTAAATGTATTAGGATAAAATGCCTGCAGAAGAAATCTGAGAAACAAGGAAATTATTCTTTTTATTTTATTGAACAGCCACATTTTATTACGGTAAAGTCTGGCATCTTCTTGGGGAATTTTTTGATGAGTTCCTCAGTTGTTTGATGGTCTGTAAAGAAGTAAATTAAGTTGAGTTATAGACATTTGCAAATGGGGGGGGGGGGGGAGAGAGTAACAAAATAAACTTACTTGGCCCATTCAACGTTGAGAATAAGATGATCATAACCAAATCCTGATACTCCTGCGATGGCTCTGGCCGCGTCCTCCCGACGGTGGAAGCTGATGAAGGCAAATCCCTGCAGCGGGCAAGGTTAGAGGGCAATGGGTTAAGTAGACCACATCATTTCTGACCAGCAGTGCCAAAGTAAATTGAAGCCACAAGATATATTGAAAAGGGAAACTGGACAGAAGCAATAATGACTGACCTTTGACTGTCCCGTGTTCTTATCCTTGGCCAGATAGATCCTCGAGATGGAGCCAAACGGTCTGAAGAGCTCCTGCAAATCTGTCTCACGGGTGTCCTCAGACAAGTTGGTCACACGAATGGTGGCATTGTCATCAGCTGTCAGGGGCAAATCAGACTCACAATGAGGGAAAAAAAAAAACCATAACAATAGAGGCTCTTTGGACTGGACTAATACAGTAACTAACCCTCACCTCTGCGGTTGGGCTGCATGGACTCTCCCCTCCGCGTGCCACCATCCCTCAGGCTTGGAGGGACATACTTCCCAGTCTTGCTCTGCGCAGGCTGCACAGGCTCTGGTTCCGCTGTACAAAGGACAGAAAACCAGGTCAATTTTATGCTGGCAACTTTTCAAACAACTGGATGGGCTGATAAAAATGTGGTGAGGAAGACAGTGAAGCAGTAGTACCAGAACCAGCAGGCTTGTCTTTGTCTCCGGTGGAAAGCCCAAGCTGCTCTGCCAGCTCCTTCTGCATGGGGCCCAGGGTGTCCTTGTACGGACAGCGGGTGGTCCAATGGTCGCCTTTGCAAATACGACAAGACACAATCTTCTGTCCTTTCAACTTGTTCATGGGATCTTCATCCTGGTCTTGGGCGTTCAGGTCCTGCAACAGACGAGATGAGGAAAATCAAGCACAAGCTATTGCGGATCAATGCTGTGGTTAAAGACAGCAAAAGCTCAACACCGATTAAACATTCGCACCTCTTTGCTGGAGATGAATGTCATGAAGACATCGTCGCTGACTGTGGTGGTGGCGACGTTAGGACCCGGGGCATCAAACTCAGAATTGCCGAATTTCTTCCAGTTCTGTAACAACAGAGGTAAACATTACAATGACTTCTAACTTAAGCCAGAGTATTACTCATAAACAGACAAAGAAGCATACCTTTCTCCTCGCGACAGCTTTGGAGGCTTTCCTGGTCTCAATTTTGAAGGTCCGCACAATCTAGAAAACCAAAACGGAAACGATCCCATTCAGTTATATGTGAGGGAAAGCTTCTCCATTTTCAAAAGCAGCAAACTGCCATGAAACTAAAATATAGAAAAACATTATGGCATTTAACCATAAAACAAGAGGTTTTACACATAGATTATGATGATAATGTTTTTAATAATAAAACCTCCATTAGGGCTTAATGGCTGTCCACATTAAATGTAAAGGTAAATCTACACAAACACTGAAATAACTCCACTTCTTACCTTGAACTTCTTTCCATCATCATCTATTTTATACTCTGTTATTGTTTTTATGTTGCCTTTAATCGTTTCCTTTGAAGGTGGTAGAGTGCCTGTCAAGAAAATGGATCACGTTTAGTTCGATTTAAGGCTGCTCCTGTGTCCTTTTTTCAACAATCTAGAAGCCATATTAACATCAGATGATGGACAGTTCATCTTTCATTAACAGTATTGGGCATGTTAAACAGCCCCATTCCAGTTTTACATTTCCATGTACTTTAACAAGATTGCGACGTTTGATTTAAACACAGCATGTTTCTCAGGCCGTGGTTTCTTAAACATCTGGTAAAACAGCTACATAGCCGTTAGCTTTAATCGACTACTGAGCAACGCTGCTTTTACGTCACTGTCCACGCGCCACAGCTAGCTCTGAATAAAATCCTTCATAAAAAGCCAATTCCCACCAGCACCAGTGTCTCAGAGCTAAGGTACATGCACATGGGAGGATATATTTGTAAGAGATAATGCGAATGTTTATTCAAAGGTCGCATTTACAACAACCGCGTGCTAGCGGAAACCGCCTAGCTGGCCTCCTCTGTCGGGCTTACTACGGGAGGTGTGCTAGCTTTAGCTACAAATGCTAACCAGCGTTTTACCTTCATCTCCTTCTTCCTCGACTTGGTCAGCCCAACTGGGCTTCGAGCTGGAAGACAGAGAGTGGCGTTCAACACCAAAACACAAAAAATGTCTAATAGACAAGGAAGATACTCAAATAATCAGGTGACACTCACTCGTCGTATTCAATCGACGGCATCCTCCCGGGTAGCCTAGCTTCTTCGAGACCAGCACGAGCCGCGCCGACGCGGGACAGACTTCCGGAACTTCCAAATAAATGCCCGACGTGTGTCTCATTTTTGTGCTTCACAACTGGAGTCCAAACATGTATTACTGATCACGAATTTTAGAAGAAGAACATTTCATCAACCAAAATGACAGGCTTGAGTTCTGTTTAGCTCTACTTCTGAAAATTTAGAACAAAAGAAATAAAAAAAATATGGAAACAAATATTTTAAATGCAGTTTATTACATGAAGCATTTCTCCCAAATGTTTGAATGTTTTTGTTGTTCACTCAAATACAAAGTATACATATCAAATAAGATAAATATTCATTCATACATACATACACACATACATACGTGTATAAAAAGAAAGCTCCCTAAATATGAGGATGCTTACATATGTTATTGTACAGTCATAAATCAATTATTATAATTGTATGTCATGGTTTGTATTAACTTTGAGATTAGTCTTAATAATTTCTGGTTATTTTGTAATGCCTGATTATCAACAAATGAACAAAAAACTAAAACCAAAGGCCTGAAATATACACTAATTTTGCTCACACAAACATCAGATTATGCTAAAAAGTACAAATACATTCAAGATACTCCTGTTTCAAAAGATGAAATTACAGAACTGCCATGCGTGGTAAAAACAGGAAGGATATAGTATAGTATCTTTTACAATCACGTAGAGCTAAAGCTTGTTTACACGAAATGGCATTCACTTTACGTGTAAACTGCAAAACCGTTCAGACATCCTACTTCCCTCCCATGTCGTCCTCTTAGTTGTGTCTGCAGCAGGGTACTTGTATACTGTCAAGAACAGCCATGTAGAGGATGGGATGGATGCACATGTTCAGTGTGGCCAGCCCCTTTGACACTTGGTACATGTTGTAGACCCAACAAATTGTATCGTTGGGATTGTGGATTCTCATATACAAGTGATACATTTGTGAGAAGTGGTACGGCAAAAAAGAAACGGCATAAAGCACAATTGCCGAGGCAACTAACACGGCTACTTTGCGTTTTTCGAGTGTTGTTATGCTGGTACTTTGCCATACCACCCTAACAACCACACAATAAGAGGTGAAAGTAACCAGGAAGGGAACAAGACAGCCAAAAACAGTGAGAAACATTCTGTAATTGAAATGGGGATTTTCACTGAAAGGTATCTGATCACAAAAAGACACACACTGGGTCTTGTTGTTCTTATTGATGCAAACAGAGGCAAATTTAAACACGGGGCAGGAGATGACTCCGACAGTCAGCCATATGAGAAAGCTGATGGCCTTGACGTGGAAAGGCTCCACGCGGGATCGTGCGAAAAAGGGCCACACGAGGCCCACGCATCGGTTCACGCTGATCGCCATGATGAAGAAGATGCTCACGTACAGGTTGCAGGTGAAAAGAAAGCGTTCGATTTTGCACGCGGCATCACCGAACATCCAGTTCTTCCCCAGCGAGTAGTAGACGATCAGCAAAGGCAGGGTGAGGATGTAGATCAGGTCGCTGACGGCCAGGTTGAAGGCGAGCACGACGCCGGTGTGCCAGTTCCTCCTCTCCCTGATCAGAAGCAGCCACAGGGCGAACAGGTTTCCTGCCAGGGCCACCACAAACTCAACCCCATACACGGCGGGCAGAAAGCCCACCTGAAACTTTTCACACTCTGAGAAGTTCTGCGCCATCCTGCCCTCAGCCCGGAGTCCTGTGGCTACTGCGAAAGCGTCACACAGCTCACTGTCACGCAACACCTACGACTGCAAAAGAGGGAGCTCTGAACAATCAGGGATTTCGACAATCAACTCTCGTCCCCACACATATCACAGGAATACCTGAGGTTACATTTTCTCTGGCGAAGTTAGTAAAGTTATCAAAGCCGTTCAGACGAGCCGATGATTTCTTGTTTCAATTATACCATGAGATGGGTTGTTAAATGTTTTAAAAGATGTTACTGTTGTAAAATTAAGTGAATTCTTCAAAGAAATAAGCTCCACTTACCCTGAGGTGAGGTGTGTCGTGAGGAGAGGTGTTTCAACTGAGGAAAACATGAGACTCATCGCGGTCCGATCAGCATTACTGTTTCAGCCGATAACCAACAAGGGATGTGGAAGACTCACATGAACCAGTCACTTCCTCCTCCCAGCACATTTCACAATATCCAGGGGCCAGTGCCTCACAGTTGCAAAATAAATAGGATGAAGAGTGGAGTTAAAATGACGACAAAAACATTCTCAACATTGAATAATTTCTATAAAGCTCTTTTCTGTCTACTGTCTTCAAACGGGCAAAACTATATTAGTGAAATCAAAGTGATTTTGATTTCCCTTGAGATACAAATTAAATATAGACTTGATAAATGCATAAATCATTTATGCACAATCCTTAGCATTTAAAAAAAAACAACTTTATAGTTTTTTTCAGTCCAGATGTCCTTTAGTGGTGTTGTTTGCTTTGACTTTCTTTTATTAATTTATGGGCAAATATTTGAGAGATTGTATTTACAGATTTCTACATCTATTCTAAACTCTTAACCAATTCGTGGCTGCAGTTTAATCGTTTGCCTATCTAACAGGAAATCAAGATGAGTCATTCTGAAACCCGCTTTTTAAGCTTCTTGTTCAGCTTCCTTCCTGAGATTTAACTGGTCACATAAATCTAAACAGGTGAAAGATCACTTTGGTGCACACTCTTGTGTTGGAGTGACCAGTGATATTTTCAAACTGATCCATCAAACCTGTCGTGAATTCACACTGAAGCACAATTTCTGAATGAGAGCCACTTAAATTACAAGAATTACACATCAATTACCACAACTTTTGGGTTTATTTTAAACAAGGGAAATTAATTTGAGGAAAAAAGTGCAAAGCCGTCCATGTACAAATGTAGAACTGTCATTGATTGAACCAAAAAAAGATATTTACATGATCTTTATTTAACAGCCACACAGAACGATGAGCAAACAGGGAGTGAAAAAGATGTCGACGGGCACCTTCCATTCGGCCTTTATGGTCTCATCTAATGGAAGCAAACCCAGACTGAGAACGACCCGCCTTTATGTCCCCTCACAGAGAGATGATCGACAATTCCAAAAACATCTCGGTGAGCTTCGATGGGAGCTGCGAGACACATCTTAATGTTGTGAGATCAGCAGATACAGCCTGCTTTACCTCTTTGTGCATCAGTTTATTTGAAAGTGTCCCCTGTGGACGTCCAGCAGTGTGCTGCCCCCTGCTGTCCCAGCACGGCCCTACACAGCCCAGAGGGAGGCCTCAGCCTTTCCCCTTCCTCTGCCTGAAGCCCTTCTTTGCTCCGGCACTCTTCTTGAAACCCGGCTTGCCTTTCTGACCACCAGATTTGAATGAGTTGTCCCTTTTTTTCTTTCCGTCAAAATTCTTTTTTGCACCAAATTTGCTTTCCTTTTCTCCACGCTTCCTCACGCCAAACGCCTTCCCCGAGGGTCTCATCTTCTCCCCTTCCCAGGACTTTCTCCCTGCCTTTCCTTGCTGACCTTTTCCTGCGGGGGCTCCGCGTTTTCCACCTGGACTCCTCCCTTTCGGGGACTTGGAGAACCTTTCTGCTGAGGACTTTGCAGACGACAGCTTCCTCTTCTTGGCGGGATCTTGAGACCTTTCGGTGCGCCTCCTCTTCTGTCCACTGGGGAACATGTCTGCACGTTGAGAACAACCTGGTCAGCACAATTCAAAAGCCCATGTGTGTGGGGTTTTGCTGATGGTGTTTGAGATAGTTTCACCTTCATCTGGCTCCTCCCCCACGGCCCGCCTGTAGTACTCGGCGTCGTCGTCCGAGTCGACGGCAGCCGTCTGACCGTCCTGCATGCCCGGATCCTCCACGTCACTATCCTCCCCGGCCTCGGCTTGTTTTTTCTTTATGCCTTCCAGACTCTTTTTCCTGAGAGAGATTGGGGGGAAATACAATTAGATTCTAATTTGTTTCGCTCCTCCGCTGAGTGAAAAACCAAAGGGTCAAAAGGCCAAATCACTTGTGTTCCTCTCGCTTCTCTTTCTTCTGAGCGACATTCTGCTCCTGTTTTCTCCGACGCTCCTCCTTGTCTTTCATCTGGACCTCCTTCCTCCTCAGGATCTCCTGGATTTCCTCCTCCGTCTTGGAGACTACAAAGGCGACAAACATTTTCCCACTGAGGAAACAGCTTGTGGCAGGGCCGCACCAGGCAGACCGAGCTCTGGATGAATCAGTAAGCGTTTACTTTTAGAGCGAAATCACAGAGATCATACAGCTGCTGTCATCACGTTCATCCACACACATTCAGTTCGGACCTGGGCCAAAGCCACGTGCTGCTCACCTATTGAGTGGTAAAGGACATTGCCGTCACCCATGCCCTCCTGAATCTTGGTCAGCTGCAGAGTCAGACGGGGCCCGATCTGAGGGAACAGAGTGCAGCGTTCAGCCGACCCGCTGCTCACCGGCGGCCCGAGCTGCCCCCCCCCCCCTTTGCTCACACACACCTCGGTCAGCCGGACGGCGCTCTGCTCCGACGGCATGTTGCCTCTTCCGGAATAGGCCTGAGGAAGCTCGGTTATGTTGTCCTCCCCGTCCTGCTCGGCCTCGCTTTCCGAGAGGTTTGCGGCCCTGATTTGTGAGAGAGAGAGACCCGTTTCAACACACGGCACACACACACACCGCGTCCCCGGAGGGGCCTCAGCTTTGTCCCAGCTGTACCTGGACTAGAACCTTACTTCATCAGCAGCTCGCTGATATCCTCGAACTTGCTCATGTTGGGGAACTTCTCCTGCATGAGCTTCTTGACGCCGCGGCTCATCCCCACGGGGACCACCTTCAGGCTGCTGCAGGGCGGGAACACAAACGCTTTAGTCCCACAGCGAGCCGCTCAAACACAGAATGGTTTCGGTGATCGATGGGCTCATCAGTGCGTTTACTTTGGACAAACATCACAGAAGACTCAAGTCATAGTCTGTCATCATCCAAGCCCAAATATCATCCAACTTAACATAAAACCCGGAGTTCAAGCAGATAGCTGCAAAGGATATCAACTCTTTACCAATAAACAACCTCCACTGCTGGACATCCAAATTAGATCTTACTTACTAGTGTCGAAACTGAATTTCCTGTGAGGTGGGGTCGTAGCTAAGGAGCACGCACCGCTTGATGTTGTTCAGATTGACCTGGAATTTGAAAAAGAAACAGCTCAGTAGACTCAAAGTTAGACCTTAAAAATGCCAAAAAAGACTTTCTGGAACAGGATTCAGAAAGCGTTTACTTCTAAAAAAACATCTTCACGCATGAAGTCAGAAGACTATACTTTCATCATTACGTAAGGTTGGTTTTATAATGGGTGAAATAGTGTCGCTCGACAAACCTTTTGCACATTGATGGAGGGAAACATGTTCTGAAACATGGTGGCCATGAGCTTGACGTGCATGCCCTCCAGCCCAAAGTTACTGAGGATGAGTAGCGGATGATGAGTGAACTGCTGGTCATGCATCCTGTGCTTCTTCAGAGATGAGACCACGTCTTTGATTAGAGAATACTGGAGGAAGAAATGAAGATGAGTCGTTAGGAGAATAAGAGATATAGATGTATAATAAAAAGTTTACATCATCTGACCATAAAATCTAATGTCATCATGTGCACCCAGTATTTTACCAAACAAAAAGATTTATTGGGAAAGAATCTTTACCTTGCAGACTTTAAAATGAAGCATGGGTCCTTTGGGAAGTCGGGCAAGTCTCTGTGAGGACATTCAAGGGTTTGTTAAACAGAGATCTGCATTCATTTAACAGAAAACTGCACCTCGGTCGGGTCGGCCTCACCATGGTGACGCTGTCTTGAGTTTTTCTGAAGATCATGAAGTGCGTCACTCCCAGTGGGCCTGCGACGGCCACAAAGTCTTTCAAGACATTCTTTTTCCGGACCTGGTTCAATACGGAGACAAGCAGCTTGGTGAGTTGGACAAAAGACACCCCAACAGAAATGCTGCTTGCTCAAGAATCTCAGATTAAACTAGTTAGACAGAATACACAAGACTGTTAATGTAACTATTCTGAAATTAGAGCAACTCGGAGCCTTCCAGCAGTTCCAGGTGTGCTGCAGTAGGCCGTGGTTGGTGTGTGTAGAGGCGGCCACGCGCACCTTCAGAGACTCGGCGGTGTAAGGCTCCATGACCCTCCGCATGTCCAGGATGAGCTGGCCCACGTTTTTCCCAACCTGACCCCGGTGAAACACGAACGAGTGCGGCACGGAGTTGTAGGTCTCCTCGGCCACATGGTTGGCTTCTGTTCTGGATTTCTTCTGGTTTTTAGTCTGAGAAAAGCAACGTTCGTGATAAGTTTCGCGCGACATAGAATAAAACTGGCGATAAATGGACGGTTTCGGTTGGACAACCCTGACATAGAGCAACGTTAGTATACTAATTACGGCAATATAACCGGTTAGTTTTGAATTTAACAACTAAACTCTGACATAATGTCCTAAAATGGCACGTTTTCCAGTCAGCTAACCAGTTTTAGCGGATTGCTATAGCAGGCCAGACACTTACCTTTGATTTCCCCATGACCCAACCGGACGGAGCCCAGCTATTTACAAAAAAAAAAAACTTACAACAATTTTGGAATGCTAAACTTTACAAGAGTGCCAAACTCAGAACTTTGGTAATGCATTACCAACAACTATTGTAAGCATCTACACTTCGACGTCAGTCCACTTCTTCCACATGGCTTTGCGACTGTGTCACACACTAATAGGTCCGTGCTTCTCAGATATAAGTTCCTACCCACTCGGCTGTTCAGCGGCCAAATAAAAGCAACTTTGCAGTTCACACTTTTGGCCACTAGAGGAAGAGAAAAGCGAGATAAACATCATTTTCATCCATCCGTCCGTCCATTGTCAATACCGCTTTTCCTACTACTTTTAGATTGGAACTCAAAACAAGTATGTTTACAATTTATATGGAGGTCTGTAAACATTTTCCTGTTTGATTCTTAATCCCCCATCACCATCTTTTTAGTTTTTTGTCAGTTTTTATTTATGTTCAGTTTTTCTTGTGTGTTGTCATTGTATTCATCTATATATAATTGTTAGCATTTTATACTCCGTTTTTTATGAACAGCCTTTCACCGCTGTGACCCATTCAAGTTCCATAGGTGATCAAATGCAAAATGAAGCAGACAAAATGTTTGTTTATTCTCATCAATGGTATATTTAAAGTGCAGAGCAAACCTATCATGCAAGCTGTACTGTTTGTATGGGAAGTGTTGCTTTGAAGGTTTTCACACATGGACACACCCATGCACACAAATAGAAAGCCACTTTAGGTGTGGACACTTAAAAGTCTGAAGTGTTTTTTTTTACATACACAAAACCCAAATATTACAGAGAGCCAATTGTGATGAATCATCTTTAAAGAGAAGGGGCTGTATTAAGACGAAGCTTTGGTGCTCCATGTATCCAGTCATTATTAACGTCATACTATCCTGTAACTGAAAACAACAGTGAAAAGATCAGCAACTAACGACAAGCTGCAGAGAAGCAGCATGTCTGTTTCTCACATTGTTAATATTAATGCATACAAAAGAAAACACTGTAGTATGAACAAAAAATCACTCCAGTCCCTGCAAACCAAAGGCCTGAATACAGTACTATTAGAACATGGCTGTCCATATAAAAATTCAAAATACTAAGTCACCAGCAGTCATGGTCTGTGGCATGAAAAAGTTGGAATGCATCACTGCACCACAGAGGAGAGTTATTAAACCACTAATAAAAACCACAAGTGTCTTAATGATAAGGTGAAAAGGTATAAACCAAAGCATTAGCACAAGACCACATTGGTTCAGATGTTTGTTGGTTAGAGTCTGTGACAGAATCGCAGGTTGATGGGAGAGGGAGGAGACATCCAACGACCTCCCACACTTTGGATCCAGCTGAACAGCTGGCACTGGGAGGTGGCGACGTTGGAATGGTGCATCATTTTAAGAAAGAAACTCAGTCGATGAGGACTGTCCCTGGCTTATTCCAAATCTCTCTACGCTCTGCATCACTTCAACATTTATAGAGTATCACTCAAGAGAAGCGTTTGGAAAACTTGTGGAGGACGCTTTGACTCATGCATCTCTTTATCTGAAGATTTAATTATTTTTATTCCTACGTTTTATCTTTGTGTTCTGGACGCTACTACCTCAATTTAAAGCAAAGCAAAGACAGCCATTTTCATCTGTCGCAGTAAGTTGTGATTCATTTTAAATCGGAATAAATATAGATCATTTGGGGTTTATTTGTAATGGACTTGCCTCCATGTTAACATAAGGCTCAAAATGACCGATAACAGTGCATGTTTTCAGAGATAAAGTTATACATTTTAATCCATTTCTTAGTGATGCCTTATTTGCTGAATTTACAGTGTTGACTGTTGTCAGTTGACTGTTAAGACAGAGGTATGTTTGTTCAGGCTAGTTTGTGTTGACTGCTGTCTCTTGAGGGTGACCATGTCAAGTTCCAGCTTGATGGGAATGTGTTTGCTTAAACTTTAGCAAAGAAATAGCTATTGAACTATCGATGCAAAAATCATCTTTCTGTGTCAAAATGACAGAAATGTCTCTGCTCCGCTTTTTGTGGCTGCTCTGACAATGTCTTTCTCTCTTCTGTCAGGCTTACCTTAGAATATGAAAAGATTCATGGGCAGGACACTGAGACTAGGTCTGACTCTTTTCCTCACACTCTGTGTGGACATATTAGAAGCTGGAGGAACGAGGGAGGGAGCAAATGCTGAAAGCAAACGCTCATCGCGCTCTACAGATACCAAAGCCGGTCGGTGCTCCTACACCTTCATCGTTCCACAGCAGAAACTTACCGGGGCTCTGTGTTTGAACACACAGACAGCGCAGGCAAACCGCTCTGAGGTGGCGGCTCTGCAGACGGAGCTCAAGCGGCAGCAGGAACAGCTGGAGAAGCTCCAGCGCCAGCTGGAGCATGAAGGGTCTCTTGCCACTGAAGTAAGAGCCCTGCGCAAAGAGAGCAACAACATGAATGCTCGCATTGCCCAGCTTTACGCCCAACTACTACATGAGGTCATCCATAAAAAAGACCAGGCTTTTGAACAGCAAAGGGTGGAGAGCCTCTTGCTAAATGCTACAACACAGGTGAGCATATGTCCACACAGAAAACTACAACCTGTCTTAATCATTATCAAACTCATGCTTTATCTCATGAGAGTGGTGGGATGTCTTAGGCACTTCAGGTGTCCAGTAATTACAAGGAACTGGAGAAGAAATATGGTGCCATGACCTCCACGATGAGTTCCCAAAACCAATTAATTGCTCAACTGGAGAAGCAGTGTCAATGCAAAGACTCCAGCCAGTCTTCCCTGGTATGAAACCCCCTGCTCTGCATGCAGCTGATGTCGGTTTGGTTTGTTCACAGGTGCTGACAAGTATGCACTGCTCTGTGTTGGTCTAAACAGGCAAGGACTGAGGCACCAGAGAGCCGGTATAATGCTCATCGTAATTACAGCTCTGAAACCGTGAAAATGACAAATGAAGTTCAAAGGGACCAGAGTGCTCCTCCATTACGGCACACAGAAACTGGGGGAGTTCCTTCCATCCCCACTGCTACCACCAGTACTGATGCACCCTTTGTTAGCTTTCCTGTCACAAAATCTCCAGGTATATCAGTGTAAAACGTGTCAGTAGCACCTGATTAGACTTGGAACTGTGTGTATAAAGGAGTCGGCCTTCTGTCAGAGTTATCTGACTATTCAGACAAACAGCAGAAGCAGATGGAGTCAGTGACCTTCTGGTGGAAGTCTTATCTTCCTGGGAAAGCCTAAACAATGTCAAAAACAGCTTACAACTCTTATCGGAGTACTGTAGAGATGAACACAAGCTCATAACCATAGCCTTTAGCTTTAAATGAAATGGAATTTTTCAGGTCACAAAACAAAGGACACTATTAGTCTATTTTGACAGGTTATCTCAAACAACATGAGACAGTGAACATGGGCAGGAGAAAAATTCTTCACAATAGATAAACTAAAGTGGCTGGGCATCTTTGATCCCTTCTGACTTTATCACAATGAGATCCCGTATCCAACCTGCCTCTACTGAGTTTTCTGCATTGAAATGGCAGAGACAAATGAAATCCTCAGAAGCTTTAATCTCAGTTACAAGAAACCTTGCTCACCCAATGTGGCACATGTGGTCATTATTAAAAGTCACGGTTCAACTGTACCATTCGAAAAGTTTAAACACTCAGAAAAATGTTGGTCATCTAATTATATTTCAGCGTTGTATCCATTATATGTTTTCTATTTAAAAAATAGTTGTATCTTGAGCAGAAGTAGGTGCGGTATATCTCCATAAAGGCTGCATATGATCCCCTGTCTCAGGACCGTGGTGGGACTGCCAGCATGTTCTGGACTCGGGTGAAACCACCAGCGGAATCTATCTGCTTCGTCCACGTAGTGCCAACCGACTCCTGCAGGCCTGGTGCGAGCAGAGTCACGCTCAGGGAGGCTGGACAGTGATCCAGAGGAGACAGGATGGCTCTGTCAACTTTTTCAGGACCTGGGAACAGTACAAGGTGACTTCATCCACCTCTGAATTCTGGAAAACCCACTGAGTGTGTTCATTATAATGACAGAATTAGGAGTGGATGCTTGGAGCCATGGCATATAGTTGGGAGGCTCCTCTATGCTTAATTTGTAAATGCAAACAAGCAATCTTAACCTTAAAGGTATTTACTTTAAACAAAATGATTTATAGATAATTTATAACAGACAATATTCTTTAACCCCTTTGGCTTTTTTTTTCTGAAATAGCCACTTATGAAAATGGCAAAATTTCCTGACCTAAGTCAACATCCATGGCCTACTGGCACTTGTCTGTAAGGAAATGAATTCATGCTCATTAAAACTAAAGGGTTGTTCTGGCATGTTACAGCAAGGCTTTGGGAATCTGGATGGAGAATACTGGCTTGGCCTAGAGCACCTCTACTGGCTGACTAAACAGGCCCAGTACAAGTTACGCGTGGCCCTGGAGGACTGGCAGGGTCGGCAGGTGTTTGCAGAGTATGACAGCTTCCACCTGGAGCCAGAAAGTGACTGGTATCGCCTGCGCTTAGGGAAATATCTCGGCAATGCAGGGGACTCCCTCTCCTGGCACAACAACAAGGCCTTCACCACTCTGGATCGGGACAAGGACGGCTACTCGGGTCTGCCCTTGCACTTTAGCTCTCTGTTCCGCAGAGACATTTTCCAATTTTTAACTGTTTCTTTTCTTCTGATGTATCATCAGGTAACTGTGCTCATTACCAGAAAGGAGGGTGGTGGTATCACATGTGTGCCCACTCCAACCTGAACGGCGTGTGGTATCGGGGTGGACACTATCGAAGTCGCTACCAGGATGGCGTTTACTGGGCAGAGTTCCATGGAGGGTCATACTCTCTCAAAAGAGTTTCCATGATGATTAAACCAACATAGTTTTACATGAGTAAACCAACATAGATCAGGTCAGAACAATATTGGTCAGCTAATTATTTTTCAGCCTTGTATCTATTGCATGTTTTCTGTCGAAAAAATTATTATATTTTGATCAGAAGTAGGTGCGGTATATCTCCAGAATTGCTGCAAATGATCCCCTGTCTCAGGATCGTGGTGGGACTGCCAGCATGTTCTGGACTCTTGTGAAACCACCAGTGGAAATGATCTGCTTCGCCCACCATGTGTGCTCACCATGTGCAGGAGGAACACATAAGCTAACACACTGAAACAGTGAAATGTTTGTACCGTGTATGTGTATCAAATAAAGTTCTTTAACGTGTCTGTGACCTACATGATTTAGTGGTTGATGACCAGCAAACATTTTTACATTCAATTATTTGCACATTTTCCACAGTTAGAAATGAGAATTTAGAAGTACTGAGAGAAGCCACACAGAATATGGGTGGAGGGAGTAATCATTGTCAGTTGCGCCACAACGTTTCCTGTTTCCTGTACAAAAGGGTGTTGAATTCCCCCGACACTGCTTTCATTATCTACCTTTGACTGTGTACCTATCGGCAGTGGATTCAATTCTAATGGGAGACCCGTTCCTAAAACTGGACATCATCTAGACCATCCTCAAATACGCTTTGCCTACATCCTCCAGCATTCTCTCCAGCATGCTCTCACCCAGGATGTTGGGCATTCTCACTTGGATGTTGTTGCTTAGTGGTAAGTGATATAGATGCTCTACGATGAATTGGGTCAGACAGTTACTGCATTAAGTTTGATTATTGCACAGTTAAGGATAAAACTACTGTAGTTGAAGTGGGTTAATAGTTTCTTATTATTTTTTGTTTCTAAATCTGGAAATGTTACAATTTATGACCATTGTGCAGATTCAGTCGATATGAGAAAATAATCCTTTATGATAAAAAATGTCTCACTGTCTTTGCTTGATTTTAAACAGAGCAGTGACAAGCCATAAAAAAAGGATCATGTACGTATAACTTCAATGTAAAAAAAAAAGGGTGGGGTAACTGTTTGTCGCTTAAAGCTTCCTCTGTTCCGCTGTATGAGTGAAACTGCATACAAACTAGGTGGGGTTTTTGATCACAGAGTAATGGAATAATTGACCTGACCATCTTTAGTCTTTGTACAGCAGGGATGGCTGGACCGGAATTGTACATGAAAAGAACCATCATGGAAAAGATTGTTTTCCTTTAATTTCGCCTACTCTATTGTTTAGAAAGGGTTTCTGAAATAAGTTGTATGCAGGCACTCTAAATATTGTAAGTTTGTCCTTAAAATGTCCATCTTATAAAAAAGATATGCACTTTTAATGAATAGATCTAGGAGGTGTCAGCACAGATTGCTGATAGAATGTTGTAAACACGGCACCATAAAAGTCAAGCTGTAGAATCTGATTTGACACTATTGTTTGTCTATTCACAGATGCAGACAGCACATGCGCACCAGAGCTCGACATCCTAACCGTGTATCCTCCGGTGATTAAAGAGGAATATGGAAGTGTGGTCAGGATAAACTGTAGTACTGATGGAAAAGATGCAGACATTTCTCTGTTGGTTGGAGATGAAATCCTTGCGAGTTCTTTTGGAGTGGATATCGAATCCAATTTAACACTGACAAAATGGAACACAAATCCAGTGTGCAAAATACAACGAAATGGCTCCCTTCCATGCATCCAAGAGTTTGATATTACTGTATACAGTAAGTGTTATTTCAAAGGAATTCAAAGATCAGAAAAGTTTTCTTAAAATCTTGTTGTTAACCATAATCTCACTATAACTATACTGAAATTATTTTGACAGAGATTCCAGAAGTCACTCTTTCAAAAAACGAAGTTGAGGTTGGGGCGGAAGAAAGACAGCATGAATTGAAGTGTGATGTCATCGGTGCTGCTCCAGCTCAAAACCTCAGTGTCACATGGTACAAGAACGATCAAATCTTCACAACAGCCTCTTCCTTAGTAACAACCAGAGCACCAGTAAACGAGTCCTTTACTCTGAGAGTCAACATGAGCAAAGGGGAGAATGCTGCTACGTTTAGGTGTGAAGCTCAGCTCGATCTTGGACCAGAAAAGCAACTGCCGCCTATAGTTTCTCAAACATACAATATTTCTGGCTTCTGTGAGTAACAATCCTGTTTCCAAATGAACTTTTTCTGTCTTATTAAATATTTAATATTCAAAGTTCTGCTATTAAAGTAAACCTGGAGTAGCTGTGTTTTGCGACTTTAGTCAATAAATTCCCTTCATTTATCTCTTCAGATGCTCCTCAGCTCATAGGAAACCACAGTCTGGACCGTCACATCAGAGTGTCTGAGGGTCAGAACGTTACCTTAGCCTGTCACATCAAAGGAAATCCTCCACCTGTCTTCCAGTGGACTGTTGATGGGAAGAAACTGCTGGAGAACACAAGCAAACTTAATATAATTGCACAAAACAACAACGCAACTTACACCTGCACTGCTACCAATGAACTTGGAAATCTAACTGTGAAAACAAATGTTTATATGGAGGAGCTGTTCCAAAATGCAGCCAGTACGGTCACACCCACTTCTGAGGCACCGACGATAAAAGGTATACAGTACAACAAATTCATTTTAATCAACTGGTTGACGACTTGTTTTCTTTTTGTGCTCAAAATGTCTCATTTTCTGTTTCTGTTTCTTTTTTTAATGACAGGTTTACCCGTGATCCTCAGCCCCGCTGAAGTTGTGGTGAGGTATGGGGACCCAGTTGAAATTAACTGCACATCTCTCATAGATGTTGCAGGAATAGGCTGGGAGGCCTCTGTTGGTGGTACAGGTTTCCTAAACTTAAGTCACTTAGTCTGGAGGGTTGAAAGCCTGACACAATGGCATGTGAAGCCTTTTTGCTATGTCACTCTGAAAAATAATACGCAGATAACCATCTCACCAAATGTCACTCTTTACAGTAAGTGCAATCTAAGTTCACCATCTTAATTGGGATCAAATGAAGTGATTAGTTTAATCATTTACACAACTTTCTATGACATATTCAAGTGCTGCTTGATTGGCAATGGTAATTTTACTGAAATGCATTTCACTACATGTTTACACAATGTGCTGAGCATGAAATGACATATGAGCTGAATCATATGAAAGCTCTAATTCTAAATAGCAATATTAACTATGATAAAAAACAAAGTTAAAAGCACAGCTCCAAAAGAAACAACATATCTAGTTATTAACATATCTACTTATTTTGTTTTTCAGAGCCTCCCGATGTTGTGTCAGTCTCTAAAGTGGGAGATGGTCCTATGACAGAGGGGATAAAGTACACCCTAAAATGTGATATCAAGAATGTGGCACCCGTGCAGCTCCAAGTAAAGTGGTACAAAGGAAATGAAACTCTGCTGTCAAATGACTACCAACAAGCTGATGTGTATCCGGCCAATGTGTCAGTGTACTTCTATGGCACTGCTACCAGAGATGACCATGGATCAGTTTTCAGGTGTGAGGTAGAGCTCCAGTTAGGACCAAAAGGACCGCAGTCGCTCCCTCGCTCTGTTTCAGCACCATACACTGCAAACGTGCACTGTAAGAATCACAGACACCATTTATATATTGTTCGAACAACGAATGCACATTTCGAATGAATCTGCTCTGGTTTTCTTTTTAGATAAACCCCTCTTCGTAGCCTGTCCAGATAAACACACAGCTGAAGAAGGAAATTTCACCCTGCATGATTTACTTTGCAAAACTGATGGAAACCCACCATCTAATATTACCTGGTACCACAATGGCAGACCAATCAATTCACTTGTTCCACTCTTCAGGAAAGACTCTGGAGTATACACTGCTGAGATTGCCAATACTATTGGGAATACCTCCACCAATGTGTCCATGACCCTTGGATGTGAGTACAACAGAGTTCGTTCATCCTCTCGATAAGGATAAATACATCATTCTGCTGTTACTGATTCTGAAATATACTGTGATGCATTTTTACAGACAAGCCAAGTTTGATCTGCCGCGAGGAGTACGAGGTTGAAGTAAACAGTGAGGTCAAAGATCTGTGTGAACCACAGGGATCACCGAAACCCAGCGTCACCTGGTTCAGAGAAGGTCAGATGTTCTCCCGACGGTGGTGGAGCAAGCAGGACGCTGGAGAATACTCTGTTAAAGCCACCAACCAGTTCGGAACGGCTGAGCACAAGTTTAACCTACACATTTTGTGTATGTCTGAACTCCCCACATCATCCTATTCTTTTATCCCTGCATTGATAGTATTTTTTCGAAAAAATCCAAAGAAAAAAAAACTATTTTTTATGCCTATGTCTCCAGATGCTCCTGAGTTCACCGGTGGGAATGTCACAAAGGAGTTTGTTCAAAGTGGAAATGTGACTTTGAATTGCAGTGCCGAGGGCAACCCCAGCCCTGTGATCCACTGGCTGTGTCCCACTCACACCAATGTCCAGATGTCCACGGTGGGGCGCTATAACATCATCACCGTCACCCAGGCCACGTCCAGCAATGCTGGTGTTTACGGCTGCGTTGCCACGAATAAAGTTGGGAATGTGACAAGATTTTTCTCACTGGTGGAGAAAGGTACGATTATCTGCACAGCAATGGAAACGTACAGAGGCTGCAAAACGCAGGCCTGCTGTGAGTTTAGCAGTGCTATCGTAGTTTATAGGAGGAAGAAATGTGTGAAGTGTGTAAGAGAAGAATGAAATGTGAAATGTCCAACCCATTTTTTCTCTTTTTGTCTTATTTTGTTGTCTTGCAGGGAAAACCGACGGAGGCTCTCATGATTTCCCAGAATTCCTCCTCATCATCCTCATCATCATCATCTTAGTCCTTCTTATAGTCATTGTATTCTTAATCTACAAACAGAAGAAAAAACAAGGACAATACAGTTTTATTACCAACAGTGATCCTTCAAGTATCCCAATGGTTACAAAGTCTGCAGGCACGCTTACTTAGACACTTTCTCACTGGTCGAAAGCTGATCCAGATTGTAATATAAACTGTAAACTAGACCCCCCATTTTTTTTTAAATAAGCTGTTTAAATGAGGGAATCCAATGTTTTCAAGCCTTTTCAACCCTATAGTTGAAGTTTTATTACCTTTTCTCCTAATCAATTTTTTCACTCAATGTTGTTTTAATCCTGTACCTTAAGTTTTATGAATAAGTGTTCTCTCCTGAACAATGTTTTGACTTGATGTTTAAAAAAAATCTTATAGTTTTACTTTTATTATTGACAGTGTTGCAGACCTGTTTCTCCAGAGGAAAACGTGAGAACAATCCTTATTTTTATGACAGTGATATAATAAAAAAGACAGAAATGACTTGTTTGTCATTTATGATTTGAATGTTCTTTGAAAGTTTCACTCTGTCTTTATCCTGTCCATGTGAGATGATTGCTGATAGACTCCATGTCATATCTGGAGAAGGTTAATGGTTTTCTTCCTGACCGGTACAAAACTTTCCAATATCAAAGAGACTTGGGCGAAAGTGACGATATATTTACCATGAAGGAACATGGACGGGTTAAATCGTCCTAAAAGGGTCATTTTGAACCGACGCATCCATTCAGAGGGCAGAAATGTCCGGTCCAGAGAGGCTCCGTGTCCTGCCCCTTTAAGACTTAGGATTTGGGAGTGACGCGGATACGAGAGCTACTTTGTCCCTGTTTCCTTCGCTATGAAAAATATTTAGACCAACTAGATAAACGACAGCCAGCCCAAGTTGATTGGTTAATTATGAGTCGGATTTACGTCGTTTTCTAAGGAAATCAACACCGGAGCGAGTCGGGGTTTGATCCACTCGGGTGTGGACTTGCCAGCGCCGTCCTTTCGAGCTGCTGGGATAACTTTGGAGAACTTCTTTGTACTCGGGAGGCAGCTTGGCAAACAAGCCGAGCATGGATTGGGGCACGGAGCTTTGGGTGAGTTTGTCATCGGTCTCTCTCATTTATTTATAGCGCCGGGGTGGCTGCAGCGCGTTGTTTGGGACGGTGCAAAAGGGAGAAATCTGGCGACTTTTGCTGGACAAACGACGAGACGTGGGGAGCAGCCTGTGTTTGCAGAGCTGTGCATCCGTGCACGTCGTTGCTTCTGCTGCATTTTTCTTTAACGCTGTCTGGATAACGCACTGCAAAGAAAAAAGTATTTCCAGAGGTGACAGGACGCGAACGGCAAAGGCCAAACTGGATTTCAGGTCATCATCTTCTCGGTGCCCGCGCATTGCCACTCAAAGCTTGAAATAACAAATAGTAGAAAATGTGATTTGTTCTGCAGACATTGAGTCAAACTGCAGAAGCTGAGCTTGTGGGAGGCTCCTCTGTTTACAATGCCACACTTGGCTTCCACAGAGCGGCTTTGTAGTGGCTTGGCAACAAACCTGCTTCACTTCCAGGGTGTCTTATGTGTCTACCTGAGTGGCCACATTCTTTTCCAACAAACCCAATCAGAGATTTTTATGACCTTGGGCAGATAGATTTGTTTACACACGTTATTGTGTATGTTTTTTATCTTGATCAGCTCCAAACAGCTCAGAGTTGAGGTTTAGGCTATTTACAAGGTCAAAACGTATCAAGGTATTACAGTCTTGCGGCCAACTGCAGCCGCCTCCTGGGGGTCAACAGAAAAAAAGGGGCGACAGTGTTCAGGGCAGGAACAAAGCCTGTTGTCACGCATGCATTCTCTCACGGAACCTACATATGAAAAATGGAGCGCCGCAAAAATGAGGATGGAGAGGTTGTGACCTCATTACAGTCTCCCCTAGGCCTCTCCCCCTGTCCCTTTCCCCTCCTAAGTGATGGTGCAACAGCCTAATTAGTTTTGCCCTAGTTTGATTGATACAGGGAAACATCCACGCACCGGCGTTTATCAGATGCTCTGTCTCCATTCCTGCTCCATTGCATGACACTGCTACAGGAGTTGTTGTTTTTTTTAAAAAGAAAACGCCACATAAAAGCCAGGCAAGTGCCTCTATTCGGGTCTGATTGAAATGGTTTTGCACAAATGTTGCAATTATATAACTTGAACCTTACCTGCTAGACAAAGCGCTGTCAGCCTACTGTGTTTTGTTAATGTGTGGCTGGAGTCGACTCTCGGGCCAAGTCATTTCAATGGCATCTGTTCCCGGATTGCTGCTAATCCGGTCGCTATTTTAAGGCACAAGTTTGTAGAGTGCAAGATAAGTGCCTAGACCTTCGCTTTGATAGCGAGTGCCTCTCCTGTGTTGTAGGTCTGGCAAAGCCAGCCCCTAATTTTCCTGCAACACAGAGTGACTCGGGGCCAAAACATTTACCGAGGCTTTGTTGAAATTTTCCCTGGCTCTTTCTCGATGTAAGAGCCATTATAGAAACCCTTTTAAATATTCTGATATTTTGTATGTATACATTAAATCAAGACAAAAAAAGACAAGACACATCAGAATAGTGTAGAATTAGAAAAAAAGTGGGATAAAAAGTGGTGCTATTTGAAGTATGATAACTAAAAATAAAATTCTAATATCAAAACAAAATCGGGTGTCAGAGCAACTCAACAGGTGGAATTATAGCGCTGTTTGAGCTGTGTTCTCTGTCAGAGATGCTCAAACCTAATTTACTCCACTTTTTTGGGAAGATCTCACAATATTCTAGATCATGTTTAAAGAGACATGTGGCACTTTCCTCAGATGTGTACTTCACTTATGCTGAAAGCTTCTTTTCACTGAAGTATCGATAATTATAGAAAGAAAAGAAAGGCCATAATATTAACACTATGATTACCGTAACAAAAATAAAAATAAATGATACGAATAAATTATTATACAGATGTCATGTTATGCAAAAAATGAAAAATAGATAATAAAATAATAATTGAATAAATAATTAAAAGGTTAACAAATTTTGAAGCCTCGCTGAGTGAGAATGCGTTTCTTTAGTTATGAATCTGTCAAAATGAAATTTGACCCCGAAAAATTTCTAAACTTCATTCCTCCCACCTGCAGCCCTGCCAACTGGTGGTGGATTTAGTTTCAAGTTGATGGCATTGTGCTTTCATGTTGACTGATTTTTCCAGTTCAGTTTTTTTTTTTATATGTGACATCATGTGAAAAACCAACATGACGTCTATATCTGCATTGTGGCTGTTCACATGGAAAATGTCTGTGTTTTTCTTTTCTCTGTTTTAAAACTAAAACGCCTTCAAGCAGAGGATGCGCTGCTTTAACACCGTTTCAGATTGCTTCAGATTTCAGATTGAGTTGTATTGTCCATATGGAAATTCTTATCGTCAAAAGTCTAATGACTGTTCAAAATACTTTTTGAAAATGGCTATCTGTTTCACTCTCCTTTAAAGCTAACCTGGAGTTTTGCTGGTACTGCAGTTATTGGGAGTTTCCACTTTGGTACCTGGAGATTAGTGCACGCTCGGTCTTTATCATAGGGGCAGAGTTTTCAATTGAAGCTGAACTAAAAGGATATTTTTAGGTTGGAAAGGGTAGGTTCATCTCTGTGTTGCCCCAACCTTGTTCAGAAATAACAGCTGATATTTAAGCCAGTGTGTGTTTGTTTTTTTCATTCTTAGAAATGTGACTATTAAGCTGTAAATGAGCCATAGCTCACTTAAACTCTGCTAGTTGCTTACCTTACGACTCTTCTCTAAGAACAGGTCAGTTTTTAAAAGAATTGTCTGTTTGGACAGTCATTACTTGTGTTTGAGACCCCAAATTAGATCTCTGTTGGCTGCTGCTGAGTGAAGGCCTTTTAGCTGTGTTCTGTGATTAGGTTGGATGTGGTCTCCTTTATCTGAGACCTGCCTCTTTCATTGTACCTGAAGGCAATGAAGAATAAGGAAAGAACAAGGCCGAACATGTTAGGAATCCTCTTTCACAATGCCCCCGTCGCAAAACAAAATCCAGCAGCCAAAAGCTTCTGAAAACTGCTCTTTGTGTTAAGTGAGAACGACTAGCTTTGATATCATCTCTCACCCTTAACAGACGTGTCTGAGCTTGAAGGTGTTGAAAAGTGCCTAACCAACTTAGAGGAAGGGAAACAAAGAAAGGCTTAATTTTGGACAATATGAAAGTGAAAAGTCAGCAAATTCTGCTATGAATGAGAGGAAACAGTTGAAACATCGTTCACAGTAAACAAATTCCATTTCTTTTGACATATTCATTGCAGAACAGTTACTTTACAGTTTTGCTTTAGGAATCACTCAGTCTCGTGGCCTAGTGCACACATTTTATGTAGAGAGCATTTTTAGAATCTGACACGCATAAAACAAGCTTTTTGTGTTTTGTTTATTGCCTTACATTCAAGATTTTTCTTGATCCCCCCCCCCCCCCCCCCCCCCCCAAACCCAACAACCGGAACACCCCAGCTGTGGCCTCAAGGTTGTTGGCATTTCTTCCCCTTATTTGTCTTCTCTGCTGCTTTCTCAGGACCAATATGACATCATAGAGAAGCACACACAGTCTGGCCTGGAGCTGGTGGAGAAGTATGTGAAATTTGTGAAGGAGAGGACAGAGATCGAGCAAAACTACGCCAAGCAACTGAGGTAGGCTTCGTTCTAGTCCCCCCCTCCCTCTTCTGCTGTCTGAATTGTTGCTCCGTGTGTGGATATGTTTGTGCTTCGGTTTGAATGGGAGCATGTTAAAGGTTGTTTATGAAATTTTTGATGGTCTTATGACTGCTTCGGGACAAAATCCAGCTTGTTTCTGAAACACTGGCCCGATTCTCCAGCAGCGGCAGCGTGCTCGCTGTCTCCCTTTCTCCCCGCTCTCCCTTCATCCCTTACTGCTTCCTCTCCCAGCGGTTTGCTAGCATGCAGGCCCACATCTGTTGTAGTGCTGAGCTTTGCTGGAGAGGAGAGGAAGTGGGAGCAGACTGGCGCATGATAGACGGGATGTGGTCAAAGGGAGAGTGAAAGAAGGAAGAACAGCCATTTGAATATGTTCAGTGGGCGCTGCTGTCTTTAATACGGTTGTGAAAAAATGCTACCTCTGGTTACACAATGAAACGATCCATCTTTTCAATCATTTCAGACTTTGTAAATTGTTTTTGTACCAGACTCTGAATGTAATGTCACTTTCCACAGGAATCTTTCAAAGAAATATAACCAAAAGCGAGGCAATAAAGATGAGCCAGAATGCAGGTGAGTCATCGTAAAATGTTGTTTCACAAGTCTGTCATTATACTGATCTGAAATATTTTGAGGTTCAAGAAACAACTTTTTACCCCACACTTCTCTGACAGTTTTTTAAGAAGTTGCCAAATAAACTAACAAATGAAACTTTTTAAACTGTGAAGGAATTCAACTCTTTCTGGTGGTATCCATTTAATTGTTTCACTTTGATGTTTCTGACATTTAAATGGCCTCAGAAGGAAGCAGGAATAAGGAAGTCCCGATCTTCTTATCACAAGCCCACTGCTGAGCTTTGTGTGTTGACCATGTTATCAGTGGTCCCATCAGCTTGTCCTTTTCTCTCCACCCTTTCCTTTATCCTCCCCTTAAATGGTAGGTTGTCCAGCTACCAGTCCTTCTTGGACATTCTGAATGAGACGAATGACTACGCGGGCCAGAGGGAGCTAATTGCTGAGAACCTGATGATGAACATTTGCATTGATCTCACCAAGTACCTGCAAGACCTCAAGCAGGAACGAAAGACGGTGAGCTTGATATGCAAAGGAGCTAAAACACACCGTTTCACCAGCTTGAAATTGATCTTTGTTGCAGCCATTGGTGTCTGAATAAATCAAATTTGGCATGTTTTCCCTGGTAAACAGGCGCTATTTATTTTATGGCGGTCTGGCACTTTTTATTTTCTTCTATTGTCTCACAGTTTTGCGAGTGTCATTGTTTTTATTTTTGTCTGAATGATTTCAGCCCCCTCTTTACAAAAGTTAAAACACTTGGTGTCGCATGAAAACCGGAGTACTGATGTGTGTTCACAGGACCAGGTCTATTTTAAACATTTTGTTATTGAAGACATTTTTGGGGAAAAGGAAATAAATGACCTTTTAGTGGAGTGGAGATGTGGATATCTCACTGCTGTGGCAAAAGAAGGAGTCAGTGTCTCCTGAGGGAGGCATGGTCTGTGTGGCGGTGTTCCATTTCTCCATGAGGAATGCTCATTGTTAAGTCGGATTGCAGAACAGCGCAGCCACGTACAGCCTATTGCTGAAGACGTTATGTCTCTAACTGACACACTGGTATTTGTTTTCCCGTCTGTTATGCTGTGTGGCTTTTAGAGGTCTTTGTTTATTCCGTCGTCTCCGACATATGGTTGCCTCTCTGTCTGTCATCTGACCCTCCTCTCACTCCGTCTATTTTTATGAATGTTTGCAGTATCTTTTGGATGCCAAGAAGGCCCAGCAGAATTTGGAGAGCACCTACAAGCAACTTGACAGCGTAAGTGTAGTCAGTTGGTCAAAACAAGCTTGCGTGCTTGTTGTCTGACTGATGGAATATGGAAATGAGTCTGGAAGAGAATGACTGCACAGCCTGTGTGCTGTGTCGCCTGGCTTTATTTGTGTATAGGAAAAACAGGTGAACATAATAGAACCCAGTTTCCTTTTAAACTCCAGCTACGTCACCTACTTTGAGTTTTTTTTCCGACTTTTCTGCTTTCTCCAAAAGCAGAAAAATGCCCCTCATCTCCCTCCCGGACAGTAGAACGGCTTTAATCAAAATAATGGATCCTCTTCAACATTGGTTTAGGTACCAGATTGACTCCAACTGCTTTTTTCTTGTGTCCCTCTTCACTAGAGCAAAAAGCGCTTTGAAAGAGAGTGGAGAGAAGCAGAGCGTGCTGCACAGTATGCAGAGAAGACTGATCAGGACATCAATGCCACAAAAGCAGATGTTGAAAAAGTAAGATGGAGTGAATGATAAGATCGACTGTATTCATGCTGCGTGTACGTAGGATGCATTAATTTTTTTTTGCATTTGTGGTTTCAGGCCAAACAGCAGGCTCATATGAGAGCACACATAGCAGACGAGTGCAAGAACGACTATGCTGCTCAGCTCCAGAAATACAACAAGGAGCAAAGCCAGTTCTATTTTAATGACATGCCACTCATTTTCAATGTAAGTGAATTACCTGTTACACACAGTAATACGACAATAAAAAACTGCCATCAACATCTCTTGATTTGATGTCGCACATGCAGTCTCCAATGGGCAAGCAATGACCAAAAAGTTCAACTTAAGGCATCAAAATGGGTCAAACAATTGGGTCACCACATGGTGACTGTCTTTATTTAATCAGTTTGTGGTAATAAGAGAGGTAATGAATGTAAATTCAACCAATTTGGTTGTAAAGTCAGAAGGGTTTTCATTTTGTTTGATCTTTTCATATTCTAGAAATGCATCTATTAAGGGCTTTCTGTAGCTATTTACATCAGTCTGTGAACAACAGTTTTGTTTTTCTACAGAAATTGCAGGATCTGGATGAAAGGCGAATACGAAAGTTGGCACAAGGTTACCTCTTGTTCTCAGACACAGAAAAGCTTGTGATGCCCATCATTGGCAAGTGCTTGGAAGGGATTACTAAAGCTGGCACTAATGTCAATGAGAAGAACGTGAGTTGCATTTAGCACTCAATAGATGGTACTTGTTTAACCTATGTTACAGTAGAATGTTAAATCCTTAATGTAAAATCCTATTTTAGCATATTGCACTCAAGGTAAGGTAAGTGTGTAACTGGTGTTGTATTTTAATGTTAAACCGTTGCTTAGGACAAAAGCATCTGCTAAATGCATAAATGTAAATGTAACTCTGGATTGCTTTTATCCATAATGGTATCTCACACAGGACTCCATGGTTGTAATAGAGCAGAATAAGTCGGGCTTTGAGCGTCCTGGAGATTTGGAGTTTGAGGACTACAGTCAGGGAATCAATCGAGCCTCATCTGATAGCAGCCTGGGCACCCCTAAAGGCCCCCTGGACCTTCTGGGAAAGAACAAGAGCAAAAACTTTTGGCTCTTCAGCAAAAGGAGTAAGGTAAGACATTTCACTCTTTCACAGCGCCCAGATTAATGATGTGAAACTCTGCAAGTTGGCAGCCATTCAGATTATTGGATGACTTATTACTTAAGAGTGGAAGGAAATCCCTTACCGAGAGCAATCATGGGAAACCTTTAGTTATGGCTCACATACAACATGCAAACCCTGTAAACACCTTCTCATCTTTGAAGCTCAGTATAATGCTGCACGAGCCACTTTCATTTCATTGTGATTGACGTCAGATATTCCCAAATTCATTCAGAAAAGGCCCCTTTGCATGCCTTTTTTTCCCTGGCTGTGAGTGAATAAACCTTGACCCCCAGCTCCACTCCCCACCCCAACACGCACATATCGCAAAGCACTGCAGATCGCTTACCAGCAGGTCAACTGACAGTCAGCATTCTGCTATGCTGGTGCTTTCATCAGCACGGGACCCAAACAACATTGAATTTTCCTCTACAGGCATCCACAAACACACTGCCTCCATTATCCCGCTCAGAACCTATCATTATGTGGCGCATCACAATCAAATCTTTGTCCCAACATTAGAACGACACCAGGTTTGCTAGACCAGAAAAATATCATCATTGCAAACACTGATATAAACATTGATATGTTTGTATTCACTCTCCAGTGTCTGTTTGGTGTAAAACCCACACATACAGCACTGACATGGGTCTTAAAGCACTCTGAGGTCCCTCATTAAAACGATGTTATGAGTGACTGAACACTAATTAGCTAATGGTCCCCACCTCCAGTCCCAAAGCTAAATGATCCCTTCTTTCTCCCCTGCAATGTTTGCTTGCTCAGCACCACTCTTTTCCCCTGCATGTCTTACTGGCTGTGCTTTGCTGTGCACTCTTCCTGTTCAGTATGTGTATGGCACAGAGCTCTGTGTCATCAGTCATGCTCTCCCAGTTAGGCCTTTGGAGTGTGTATAGGTCGCTGAATGTACTGGCTTCAGTAAATCCTTAGACTCCTGTTTGGTCCCTAAACATTCCTATTAACTTTTATAACTTTTATAACTGCTGTACTTCAGACTCTCAGTACTTGTCTATCAGACTACATTTTAGCCTTATGCGGTTCACACCAAGCATGCTCAAAAGCTAACCATTTTTAATGTAGGGTATAGGACAATTAAAAAAAATCTATAAGTACAATTCCACTCTCATAATTAATGCGGTCTATTTATAACAACTGGACTTGTTTACAAACTGATGCTATCCATATAGGTCAGGCTCAGAATAGTGCTGCTTCAAACTGTGAACATGATTTTCCACACTGAATTCTGACGATTGAGCTGCCTCATTTCTGTGTCAACAGTAGTTGAGATTGTGGTAAAACACAGTGTTGTAGACCCCTGAAATTGTTTCTGTAACTTCAGTGGGAGAGTTGCAGACACATGAAATATTTAATAGCAAAGAAACATTTGAAATGTCAATTTTGAAAACGAAATGCAGACATGATCCAGTTTTTCCTCCTTAGTCCTCACTGGGGCTCATGCTGCCCTTATCTATGCTTCAGCTTGGCTGCAGGTGTCCGGCCGATGTGGCACCGGTGTGGAATTTATAGCTGGTTGCTCGCTTTATAGGTTTTGGTTTTCTGATCATTCCTTATAAATTCACGCATAACTACCAGTTTATGTAAAGGATGTTCCTAAAGTAAAGCTAAATTTGCTCTTTGTTACAATATATTGTCAAAAACATTGTCAAAAATTCTGTTGTTAGGTAGACAGTTGATATTGTATTAAAGTAAAGAATGTTATGCACACAATATACTAGTGTGTATTAGATATGTATATATAAAATACATATACCCTTTTTACTAAAATAATATGCAGTTCGTTTTTTAAACTTTATGAAGTCTGGCTTTCTTTTTACAGTAATGTAAAACCTGAAGGTTTTCTGTTAGACTGTTCACTAAAACCTTTATCTCTCAGCCTGTGGAGAAATTAAATCCATCAAACTGTTGAATGTTTCGCCTTAATTTGAAAATCATTGACATTATTATTTATTTTTTATATGAATTTCAATAAAAAGAAGGAGATAGTAATGCAAGTACGGTGAATTTTATGTCGAAGAATAGGCATTATGAAATTTTGCTCCATGTGGTGAACTAAAATAATAATATTCACTCCAAACTGTTGTCACATTTTTATTTATTCATGAATGTTTAGTTCTCTCATGAATTCTTCCTCAAAGGGTCCTTTACATAAACTGCAAACAGGTGGACGACTTGGCATGAAAAAAACAAAGTCAAAAGGGGTCTGTTAAGAGAGCCAAAGATGTGTGTTTGCTCTGTTATGCTCTTTGGGCTTGTGTGCTGGGTTTGCTCCAGTGTTGTCTTCCAGGCATTGTGGTGTGCTTTAAGGTGTTGACGGTGTCTTTTTCTTTCCCTTGTCACTTTGTTGTTTTTTTTTGTCTTCCCATCTTCCCTACTCCTCTTTTATTTCTTTTCCCCACCCTTTTTATGCACCAACCTGTGCTAATCCCATTCTCTGGTGCTGGTACCTTTGGTCTTGCCCAACCCCAGCTCTCTTCCTCCACACTCACTCCCTTCTCTACACCCCCTGCCCCCTCACCCCCAAATGGATTCCCTTCCCCCAAGTTTGGCCGGGACCCCCTCTCGTACTGTTTGAAGGAGATCAATAAGACAGTCAAACCCAGAATCTCTTCCTTCCGGACACTCAGGAGATCGGTGAGTGACAAGAGGAGATTATTCGGCTGGCAGGAGACCTCCACTCAAATGTTCTCAGATATCGCGCTCTGCAAGAGCCACTGTACTCCTCAGATCTTTTGGACTTTTAGTTCATAATTAGTATAAATACTTTGCACTTTCATTGTTAACATATTTTAAAAAGATGTAATCATATTTTCTGGATAGCTAAAATGTTTTTTAATGGGTAAACTCTTTTCCCTTTAGAAATTTACTCAAGAAAGGATCACGGTAATGTGGACAACCAAAAACTGGTGTTGGGTTCTGGTGTGTTGTCACATTAAAAATGTCCACCTTCACTTTACAGCTCTTCCTCCTAATTATTATTGTTGTTATTACTGATCGCAGAAATGTAATTTCTCTCTGTGCCAAAGGCTCATACTCTTGAGTTTGTATTGAGGAGGTGGCCATCTGGTGGTGGAGGGAGGAATGAGGATTTAGGACACGTGGAAGCTCCGCAACTGAATATTGAATATTCTTTATTTTGCACTTCTGTGTGTTCCTGCTGCATTGATCCAGCCCCCCTCTGTTTAAAAAAATAAAACTTTTTATTTAAAAAAAAGTAACTGAATCTATTTGCTGGACTGTGGTGGTGGTTTTGCTTTCAGCTCAATTGATTAAACTTATCTTTGGCTTTAAATTAATTGAAAAACCTAAAGGTCTGACCAGGCTCTATGAAACAGGCTGTCACCTATTCTTTGTCTCCACAACTGGCCTCAAACCACAGGCTTGGTGTTTCCACTCAGTTCTGTTTTTCTTTTTTTTCCAGTGATTGTGCTTGTGAAACTGTCAAACCCAAATGTCAGTGTTAACCCACCCTTCCTGTGACCTCTTGCAGCCCACGGTAACGGAGGACTTTGCCCATCTCCCCCCTGAGCAGCGCAGGAAGAGGTTACAGCAGAAATTTGAGGAAATTTGCAAAGAGTTGCAGAAGGAAGTAGATCAGAGGTGTGTGTTTGTGTCTGTCTGTGGGCATCCAGAGCATCAATGACATTCTCTGTTTTAAATTTGCGGCAGGAAGTGTAGATACAATATTCATGCAGTGTAAACAACTCCATGTTGTTTGTGTGTGTTGGAATCTACTGTTTACCCTCCCCTGAGCTCTGCAGGCAGCACATTTTCACCAAGTCACTTTTCCTCTAATCCCACCCCCACCTGATTCACTCTCACTCTTTCTATTGTTCTTCAGTGAAGCACTCGGAAAGATGAAAGATGTCTATGAGAAAAATCCACAGATGGGTGACCCAGCTAGTCTTGCATCCCAGATCAGCCAGACATCCCAAAATATAGATCGGCTCAAAGGAGAACTGAACAAATATGAGGTAATCTCCACCACTGTTGTTTATGCGTTACATGGGGCTTTATTTAATAGTTTTCTCAAAGTATGAGGTTAGTCTTTCCTGGTTAATGCAATAATTTATCTAATAATTAAGCAAGGCTCCATTATTCTTCTCTATGTTGTTGTTGTGCTCCTCTTTTGTAGACATGGTTGACTGAAGCAGGCGGCCGAGGTGACACACTACGCTATAAAGCCCACGCATTTAACAATAACGGAGTTCATGACATACACAGGTAGGATTAAATCTCACTAAATATTAAGTTTGAAATTCAGACGTGTTGTACACTGTGCACACATAACCTTTCCACCTCTTTTTCAGCCCTGATGGAGCTCACTCTGATGAAAGCACTCCTGATGCCTCTCAAGCCATTTACGCAGAGTTTGACGATGACTTTGAAGACGAGGAGCTAGCACCTCCTATTGGGAAGTGCACCGCCATGTATAACTTCCCCGGTATGTTGAAAGTTGTTTCACTTTAGCAGTGTTGAAAAGCGCATGCATGAGATAAAGATCATAGGTTACTTTCCATATTACCCAAAACATAATTAACTTTCATGCCAATCATAAACACAAGCCTGTTGCGTCTTATTTTCGTATGAAGATGATTCCTTGAAACAGAGAGCATCTCTAGATAAACACATGACAATGTGAATAAGGAAAAAAGAAGCTGTTGATTTGGCCTAAGATGAAGGCCAATATTTGCTTAGCTCAAAACACCACTAAGAGAATAGACACTGAGCGGAGACGCTTCATGCTAGCCTCCTGCTTTTACTGGATTTTGCTAGAGGGGCTTTAGTAGTGCTGAAGGTTTCTGAAAACAACCCAAACTGAACACGTATAGGTGAAAGGCTGCAGGCTATGTTATGAACACTCACCTTTACAGGAAAACTGTCAATTGACCATCTAATACCAGATCATAACCATTAATAAAAAGAAACTCTTATTTTTTCTTTTTATTAAGATCATAGTTATCACAATGTGAGGTTTATGTAGTCTTTTGATGAAAAAAAGGAACATAACAGAGATATTTTTTTCAAGTAGCCTGTCTTGCCCTCTCAGGTGCCAGTGAAGGGACCATCTCCATGCAGGAAGGGGAGGTGCTGGCTGTGGTAGAGGAAGACAAAGGAGATGGTTGGACACGAGTCCGAAGGAACAATGGAGATGAGGGCTACATTCCTACATCTTATGTCACCATCACGCTCAACAAGTGAAACAAATGTAGAACTGTCTGCAGTTTTCCCCCTCCCACCCCGGACCAACCATGAAGAGGCCATGTCACAAAAGGGCAGAATTGCCAAGGTGTAGAGAAAGATCCAGATGAAGTGTTTGGATTTCTTCAGAGAGGAGCCCGCTACACACAAAGGCATGGTGCTAAAAGAAGGTTTCTTAAGGTTGCCATTAAACTGAAACCCAAGTGACCCAACCATCCAAAACCACAAAGTCATTTAAGTTTAAAACGTTTCATTGAGGTTTTTCTTGGTTTGCTTTAAAAGTCTTGCTCACATCTTAGGCGTCATTGTGGCAAAAGGGGTATTCATTCCATTGCCTAATGAAACTTTTTATTCTGAACATGAGAGGAAGTAGGGGTAGAGGAGGATTTGTGCTAATGCCACCTTTACACTGAGTGGTAGCACCTGTAATCTTTTGGAGGAAGTCGCGTCACTTGTTTACATTTTCAATTTAAAAACGGACCTGCTCTGGCTCACAGCAATCTTCTGACAGAAAGCAGAATATTAACCTCTTTCAGGTCTCATGTGTTCCAAGTGGACTACTTCATACTGGTGATAGCATTTGAGTTTCCCCTGGGAATGAATGAGGCTGTGGGGGGAAAATACCGTGTCACCTTTGAATTTTATTTGTGAGGCCAAAGGTTTGGATAACTCTTCTATTTTGGTATAGCACAAAAAATATGACCATATACAGACTAAAAGACGCTCAGACAATCGCAGCCATATCATCATAGAATTTCTAATTTTAATCCATAGCAAGGAATTAAAGTAGCTATTTTCCTCTAATGGTTACAACCTGAACATTGTACTAAAATTATTTATTGCAGGATTGTATAAAAAATATGTTTGACAAAAGATGAACTTTGTATTAAGGGTGTTCCGATGTTGCTCTTTTCTCCTTGCACACAGTGGACAGTCCTTTAGCCATGAAAGGGAGGAAAAATGCACACAAAAACAGCTCCAAGGAGACTATTGTATTTAAATAATATATAATATATATTTTAGCTACCACAACACCACTATTGTCTTATTAGCTTTTAACCATTGAATAAAGATTGTTTCATTGCAGGAGAAAGCTTCAACTATCTAATTTTTTTTGCTAATATTGTTTTACTTGGATTCACTAAAAGAGCTCACAAGCTGATCCATGCTCTTTTTTTTATGTTGTAGAGCCAGCAAGAAGCATTATCTTTTCTGATTGATGCTATTATGTCTATGTGCCTTTCTGGTTAAAAATATTGTGTATATACCATTTTTGAATAAAATATGTTTTCTCCTTTTCCAAGATTTAATAACTGTAAAAGCACATTACAACATTAGAAGAGGTAGTGTCATCTCAATAAACAGCTGAAGCACACATTGTTCTTCCTGTGAAGTTTGTGCTGCATTCTCAATGATGGGAATTTGAATTCACATTTCTTTATCATTAATGTTTCGTTTAGAGCAATTTAATGAACTAGTTTTAGCTTCTGAGCTTTTTGTTGCAAGTCTTAATGAATGATTTTGCAAGTTTACAAAATACTGATTGAGCTGCTGTGTGTGGAATTCACTTCACATTCACATGTTCAGAGAGGCTAATTCTTTTTGACTTTGGATATGGCTTTAGCTATTAATATTGCAAGTCTTTAACCGCAAGACAATTTCCATCCATACTTTTGTCTGTTGGCTGTCCCAATTGCAGTTTAGAAAGCTTGTTATGAGGTTGCATCAAACTCCTGAAGGCAACATGGCAGCACCACCAGACAAAGTTGCAGTATTTTGCTCTTGAAAATGAGAACCGTTTGGCTCTAACTATCAGAGAATGTACAGCTTATCCTCAGTAGGTGGCATTGTTGCACCATCTCTTAAATCTGTCATTTCCACTCTGAATAATTGCATTTTCAATATAGGGCATGCATTTGCATACCTGATTAAATTGCCCTGACTTCAAAACCATACGGTTTGTAATGACTAATTAAATAATCCCAAACTGGCATGTGGCCCACTTTCGTATCCCCTCATTCACAATAGACGGATGAGGAGAAACACAATGCAAACTTAGTTAAGAGCAAGGTTTGAATGAATTATTGAATCATATTTTCAAAGGGAATTGAAAATCAGGAGGAGAAATGTTGTAGAATAGCTTAGCAAAGGCTGTATCAGGTGTTGTGATATTGTGACACTCACTCACTGACTGGTCAGAGGACTGAAGGAACAGTTAATGTGGATGCAAGGCCTGAATTCGTTAGATGCATAAAAGGTAATCTTTTCAGTAACCTTAGTGGAAGCAGTCTACATGTTAAGGCTTCATATAGCTGTGAGGTAACACTGAAACCTGGTGCATCAGACCGCCCTGATGGGGATATTAATGAGGGAATATTTACAGATCATATAGTTATAAAAAAAAAGCTGTTATAGTGCCTGCTGATGGTTCATATTTAATGTATACAGCAACACTCGATTCAGCAACAAAAACGGCTATTTCAGGCTACTTTTTTTTTTCTGTGCTTTGCAAAAGGGCAAAAACCTTTTCTCACCTTTTAAAATAGATGAGAGCAATCACCCAACTTGCCCTGCTTTAACAAACAGTTGGTACCACAGTACAAGAAAGAAGCAAGTACAAGATCTATAAATGTCAAGGAGTAAATGCCTTTACTATTATGGCAACTCAGAATGCATTTTGAATCATTAGTTCAGATTAAAAACTGAAATAATAAAAAGAAAAAGCATTGTCATAATTTAGTTCCTTTTTTGGCAAATAGGACTAACCAAGGGAATAGATGTATTGAATGAGAATATTTCCTTGTCAACATGAATGCATATTTTCAAAGTATTATATGTATGGTCAAACTAATTTCTCCATTTTTAATTGAAGAAAGTTCTCTGTGAACGATTAGGTAAATGCATGACTGCGGGGGCAGAGCTTCTCCATTAGAGCCTTTGGTGGTTTCGGTTGGATTAGTTGGACCCTTGACTTGTCTCCAACATCTGTCAAACCTTAAAAGAGGCCACTTATGCACATGGGGTGCCGTGGTTTCAGGAAATGTCTCTCTCAGCCCAATTTATTTTAGCCGAACCAAAAGTAGAAATCTAATGGTGCTCACTTTTCACATAGTTTTACGCTTCAGTTGCTGATGAAGTAACACACATGAAATGAGCATAATTGCAGCTGAATATGGTTGGCTACTGTGTTAATACAGAAAACCACAGTTCATAAACAGCCGTCTTCTTGCTGGAATTCGGTAAATTCATCTCCATAGAAGGTGAAATACTGAGACTCTTCTATCACGGAGGGTGCTGTTACAAAATAAGCAATTATTTCTATGCCTACTGCACCACAGGTGATTAAAGATCTAAGAAATCAATCTTCCAGCAGTTGCTTCGGGAAAAAAATGACAAAGATGGAGGGAAACCTTTAAGCTTCTCAGCATCTCTGTGGAGTCTGAGAGTGTATGATTGTACTTCTCCATAAAAAAACAATAACCACAGAAATCAATTTACAGGATCAGTTGAGCAGTCCTTGGATGATTATTTCATGTTCAGAGTTGCACCTGTTTGTGTTGCACCTGTTAAATGCATACATGTGAATGTTGAACCTGCAATTAACAGAAATCCTTTCGTTGAATCATTGTGTTCATACCTGCACAGCCCGTGTTCATTTCTCTGCTGGTTTGCTGTCATTGCTCAGTTGTTCTGCTGAAGCTAATTTTTGATACACCGGTAGCATCCTGCATATATGGATACAAAGAACCTTTAAATAAGAGACACAGATTAAATCATTTTACTGCTAAGCTTTGATTCATCTCCAGTTGAGGCAGTGCTTTCCCAGAACTGTAACAGCCAGCTTCATCACACACTTTAGTTATTAACATAAAGGGGAATCCTTTATAACCATTAAATAAACAATAATTCAATCTTTTTTATGTAAAGGGGACAAAAACCTAATTTAGTTAAAGGTTTTGTGTAATAGCTGCCCTCAAAACATCCCAACATGTTTATCTTTATGCTATGTTGATTATTCTTATTTGTTTCAAATAGAAACATGTCATGTTGTTTTTAGAGTTAACGCCAAGAATGCCAATTTATGTGTTTGCTCATCTGAGATGAAACCTTCTCTGAGCTCTGGCTGACCCCTCTGATGACATAACCCTTTTATAACATGCAGACAGCGAACCAGAATAAAAATAAAAACTTGAGTCATAGTGATGTCCTCCAACTGGCTTTGGCTTTTCATTGACTTTTTATACTGACATGTATGCAATTTTTCCGTTTGTCCCTACTTAACCTGAATTAATCTCCCGTTAATTCATAGAATACAAACTGTATAGTTTGTATGGCGTGAATTAATGGGAGATTAATCACTAAGATTAACAACACGAGTTATCTTTATACAGAAGAGTACTTATTCTTAGTTTGCATAGTTGGCCGCTTACTTTTGTTACTATGAGAACTAGGATATTTTCATGAAGTGTAAAGCTTGGCAACACAGATGTTAGAGCTTTGCTGCAATCAGAGAATCAGATATGTGAACAATGGATTGCAGGGCCAAGTTAACGGATTTTGTGAAGAGCCAACAGTTGACTGCAGATGCCTGGTAGGCTATATGTCGGCATTGGATGGACTGATTTTGGACACACCACTACCATGTAAACGAATGTTTCATGATGAACCTATTGCATGACTGCATTGAGAATAAAACATCACCTTTTAAATTTCACTTCCAAAGAGTCTTGTCTGATTAAGACATCCACAATTCGTTGGAGCTGCTCAGAGATCCATCAACCCACATCCTCAGCGGATACATCCCTAATGTCCGGTAGCACAGCACTGCTCATTTGATATTTAAACAGAAATGTACCTCTGGGTTGTTCGGCTTGGTGGTGGATATTACATTTTATTCCAAGGGTCAATTATTCATTTCAGTTTCACTCAATAGTTCTTGAATAATTTGATCAGAAATACATCATTATACTGTGGAAGTGTTATATTTGACTTCCTTCTCCTCTCATCCCTCCCCCACATTTTCTTCCTGCTGCATCTCTTGAAGTGCACTCAATCGGCCTGAAGAGCTGCACTCTCCTTCTAGCTGACTCTTGAAGTCATGTGTTTATTGTAAATTGTTCCGTGAAATATACTTCATTTTAATTGCCTTGTATCATTCCAAGTCTTCTAAATGCATAAATGTAAATACAAGAGTTTGCTAAGGGTATGAATTATGGATGATTAAACAGTGAGTGTTATTATACTGCAAGCAAACTTAAATTTTAATTGTTATTCTATGAGTTGATGATCAAATAGCAAACTAAACATTTTTTCCCCCAAGACTATTTTTGACAAGGAATAACAAATATGTTAAGTCAAGGAAAAATTCCAACAAAAATGTAATGGAAGAAGTGATTTTTAAACAGGGGTTTGTTGGAACACCACTTGTCACGCAATTTCTAGTTTTGGTTGAAAATTTTTTTTCGCAATGCAAGATAAGTGAATAGGTCATCTGATGACATTCTTTTCAAGATATGGCTGGTTAGTTTTGTCCCTCCCCAATATCTAAGCTTCGTAAAAATTCAAAAATCATTTACCGTTCAAGTGTGAGAAGACAGCATCTCATATCATTCATGCATGCTACGTTTGCCACCTTCGAAGACGAGAGCGTTGGTGATTTGTGTTTAATTTTCTTTCAAATTAGGGCTGATTACTCCTTCGAGAGCTCTACTCACCAAATGTACCTTTTAAATGCACATTACATAAAGAATCTATCACATTTTATACGTTTGACAGATATGTGGACTTCTTTTTATATGCAAATACATTTGATTAACTGAGGGAGGCAATTTGTCTGCAAAGACATTTGTGCACATGTCTTGTCTGGTATTTGTTTATAAAGTGAGTAGATCAACAACATATGAAGCAAACATACCATTTCAGATGGTGTCTACAGCTCCCCGCCAGCATAATTTCTTAATCCAATGCAGTACCCTGTTTAAGTTGAAGTGTTTCCATTTTGTGGCCTGAAAGGGTTATGACCATGGTGACGTTCTGAGAGCTCAATCTGAAATAAAGAGGTGGGATTTGTATTCAGCATGAGGGGCAGTTCTGTCTGGGAAGCTCAATTGAGGGCAAAAGACACTAATGAGTTCTTTTCACAGAGAAAATACAGGGTGCCAAAATGTGCCTCCTCCCACTGTATTGCTGAATGCTTATCCCAGGGTGACATGTATTTTGTGAGTCAAAGGAAACGCTTGTTGAAATCTGCTTCTATACATGAGGGGTTCAATAAAAATTTATGACATGTTTTTCCTTTAATCTCAGTGGTAATTTCACCTCTTATTAGGTTTTAGAGAGTGAAAAATCAGCTCAAAGAAAAAGTGTTGTTAGGCA